CCGGTCCAAGGTCTTTAAGCAACAGTTTATCTCCCAAACTTCTCCTTTCGAAAGGATTGGAGATTAGCTCTTGCACGGAATTGGGTGCGGACCGAGGTCCGGCGACTCCACCTGCACACGAAGCCATTCTCATCCATCTACTGCGTCACCTTGGTCACTCACGAGTCTAAAAAACAACTCACGTCAACGCACGTAAGCAACGTGGGCGCCAACGTGAGCGCCCTCGTGACCAAAATATTTGACGGCGCTGATTGGCTGATATTATGTTTCGGCGGCACAGTTTACTATTGAGACTTTTGCAACGTGCTGGTTGCTGCTGTTTGGCTCGGGGGCTCCGCCCGGTAATGATAAACTAATGCCACGGGCAAGGCAAGGCAGGAAACATGTGACTTATCAGTAACTTTAGACATCGTAACACAATTTTAAACGAGATTTTATTGTAGATTATACATTTTACTGATACCAATTGTATGATATTTACCTTGTTCATTAAAAATAAAAATATAAAATATATATATATTTTTTTTAATATTTGTTGTTGTATGTGGGAAGAGGTGGGGCGGGGCCCCTATCGCCCCTATGGGCCGGCCGCCACTGGTGGCTTCCCCTCGTGAGGATGTCGTGAAACCAGCGCAGCACGCCGGCTCAGACAAGCCTCTCGACTTTTCGACTCTCCCGGTAACCCGAGAGCGTCAGCTAGTTTATTGGATTCTAATGTTGGTGTTAGCTCAGCAACACTTTAAGATTTATGTTGGACCCAGCCTTTGGCCAATTGTGGTGTTTACATTTTACGATCCCTTCATATTCTGCCCCAGCGTGTCCAAGCACAACCAGCGTCTCATGCAATGGGCTCTGATTGTGCGGGACTACAACGTTACACACCCGTCATTAAAGGGCTCAGAGAATGTGTTGGCCGATGCTTTGTCCAGGTTGAGTTTGTGATGTTAGTGTGTGTTATTAGGTAGGTCTGTTTAGTGATGTTAGAATGTGTGTTATTAGGCCGCTTCGTTAGTGTGCTTAGGTTCACAAAACCTGTGGGTTTGTGTCTTAAGGGGGGGAGGGTTACGGCTGCTGCCTTCCTGGCCCTCTTAACTCTGTTGTGTGTGTGTATGCAAATGAGCTGTACGGTTGCCCCGATGTCATTGGCTGGCCCGCCCTCGTATCATCCGAAGAGGTGATTGGATCGACGTCATCCAATCCCTGCCTGCTTCCGGCACATCTTCCGGGGTGAGGAGTACAAAGGCCGGGGACGGAGATCATTCGGGAGGCTCTGTGTTGTGAGACAGACGCCTCTAGCCTCTTGCTGTGCTTACTCGTTGTGCTCGATAATACTGTGAATCCTCTGTGTCCAGTTATACTGCTTAGCAGCGTGTTAAAGTAGTGTGCTGTGTTTAGCGTAGTGTGTGTAAAGAAGACCAGGTTAGCTTAGCGGTTAGCGCCTGTTGATCAGCAGCAGCTGTGTTTTGTTACAGCCTTTTTCAGTTTCATGTACCACGTTTTAGTGAGGTTTTTGTTTCTCGTTTGTACTAATTATTACTGTGTATTGTTAGAAATTAAAATCAATGTTTTGATAAGCATAATGTACCTTAAACATACCTTCAGTTTAAATGCTGTTTTATACTGAAAAACCAGAAGTTCTTGTGCACAACCAGTTGTTAAGCTTTTATTCTGAAAGTCCTTCATCTCCGGTTAGCATTTAGCATGTGGCAAATTCACCATTTCCTATAGAGGTGAATTTAGCAGCGATATGATGTTGCACTCCGAAACCTACTGATTTCAACACTACAACTATAGAAGTCGAGATATTATTATTGTTGAATATTAAATGAAGGTACAGTTTATTTGAGTACGTTATTGTTTACAGATGTGGGTAGCATGCGACAACATTCGGAACGACCGGAAACCAAACTGCTGTGAAGTATTTCCTGTATTTTTGGAGTATTGATTACAGCGTTTAGAATGTGTTAAATGAAAAGTCATGAAAGAGTTAAGGAGGAGAAAAGGCGTGTTTAAATATATATTGAATGTACAATGTCTGTATCCTCTGATATGCGTAACAACGGACATTAAAACATTGGAGAGCCGGCCCGCAGGGAGGAGCCAGCAGAGGATATATAAACAACCGGACCTGAGGGGTTCGGCCTCTTTCTCTGCTAGCGAGAGCCAGAGACAGCTGCTTTTCTGTCGAACAATATCCTGTTTGTGACTTTACCACGCTTTTTATTAATTAAAGTACCAATTTTGAAACAATCTCAGAGACTCCATTTAGTCTCCTTTTTAAGCTTCTCTTTCCTGGACGCGAGAATAAGAACACAGTTAACAGTATATCTGTCAAACTCCCTTTTGGAGTCTCTTTATTTTTGGTTGTTGTCAACCGGTATTTGGCCCATTGTTGGTGCCAGGCTATATGCCCTATTATTTTGTTCATATAAACTATAGTTATTATAAAACCACGTATAACTTTTACCAATTCCATTCTGGTTTGTGTTGCTTCCCTTTGGTTCCCCTAGCCCTGTAGGGAACGTAATAGTTATATTTGATAACAAAAATATTAAGAGTACATACTTTCATAGGGGGAAAGTAGAAGGTCAATGATAGAAATATAAGAAATCAAGAAGATACTGTAAGTGACCTCTACAATAAAACAGTTTAGTGCCGGATGTACAAAGATATTAATATGAGGAGGTGCAAAACAGAACAACAAATTAACCTTTATTTAAACATTAAATAATACTTTCGATTAAGGTCTTCTTTTAAATAAGGAAAAAGCTTTGGGGGTATCTATCTACAGATAAATATTAAGCCTGACAAAGTACTTAACGTCTAATATATTGCTTTCCTGCAATGTTACCTATGTTGAAGCACTTATTTTAACTGATATTATACATATGAATTATACTCTTATGTATGTAGATAGTATAAGAAATGTGCAGAATATGACAGTGTAATGGTGGAGGTACACACATATTGATAGATGTCTTGTAATGCACTGTTGAGGAACCTGTGACCCAAGTTTTTCATTCATTGCATAACTACACCGTAGTTGTGTATGATATGTCAATACACCTTTGAAAATCTTGAAATCTTGAAAGGGATGTGCAAAATAGCCATCATATACAGTCTTTAATTAACTATTAGTAGAGAATAACGAGTAATGAATATACTTTATTACTCGTTTCCATTCATGTCAATTGCAGATAAATGTTTAGTCTTCTCAAGCACCAACTATCAAATATCTCTCCTGATTGTTGGCACTTGACAATCACCTTCCCTGAATTTTACTCAGGTGTAACTAAAGTCTGATTTAAGGGTTGTTTATATTTCACATAATTAATCAGAATCTGCAAAGTAACTCAAATAAGTGTAGTGGAGTAAAAATACCAGGTTAACCTCTGAATTGTAGTGGAGTAGAATTACAAAGTAACAATGAGCTGTCATGTGGGTATATATTAATGCTGCACATTATGGCATGGGAGCCTGCCTGCAGACCTCCACTCTCAGGACAGTTCTGGTGCAGACCTCCACTCTCAGGACACCTCCACTGTCAGTACAGGAAGTGACGATTCTGACGCGTTTTTTTTCCCGCCCACCGAAGGACTCGTTTGATGGAAGTTTTCAAATCACAATGGAGACTCATCACGGAGGTGATGAGTCCGCCCACCGTGCACTTTGGGTCAGAACCATTTCAAACAGCTGTTTGACGCTCGGCGTAACCTTGGCGCACTGCCACTCCAACATCCTATCCCAGAGCTTGAAGATTAATCACAGGGACAGTAGTCCTAAACGATAGCTGGGGATTATGGGTAGTGTCTTCGGCCATCCTAAACTCAGAAATGTTTTTCGGATTTCATATCGCATTAACACCATATCCCTACATGCATTGCGGCTAAAACATCCAATCAGCTAGCTTAAACCATAGCTGAGGATCTTGGGTAATCAGTTCAGTGGCTGTATATCGCAATGATGCTCGAAATGTCCCTTATAGGCCTACGTCTGTTTCAAGTTATTTTTATTTTGAAATTCAGTTCCTGACGGACGCCAAAAAGCTAGAGATTATGGAATTAAACAAATAAATAAAAACAAGGATAATTGTGTGTTATCGGTGAGTAAATAACAGTGTGTTATTTAGAAAAGAATAACAAATTAGAAGGAAAAAAAGATTTAAAAAATACAGATTTCAGTATTCTGAGGCTCTGAGCCCCATTTATTTTCCTCACAGACGACAAAAAAAGTCCGACATTATACGATTTAAAATAAAAACAATAATTGTGGCTTGATATTGAGTAAGAACATGTTTTATGAACCCCACAGCTTCCGGTCTTCCAAGACCCGAACGGACAAAAAGACGTGCTGCAAGCACGAAACATACTACCAATAGAAATACATTGCTTTTATAATCGTTCTGTGTGACACGGAAAAAAAAAAAGGGGAAAATCGTGTTGGTGAACACGAATCAATAGATTAAATGTCGTGACTATAACACGAAATACCATGAGACTGGGTTGAAATAAAAGTTGGTTACATGCTGCATAGTAAAACTGAACTGGTTGTTAATATTTGCTTTGTAGACAAGAATGAGTCCATTTTTGTTTTGTTAGCAGACATAAATTCTGTAAATCAAATAAATGTAACCTAATTATAAATTCCAGCAGTTACATTTTGACTTAATACATTCACAGCCGAGTCCTATCAATGTGGTGCAGTAGCCTCTCTGCCAATAGGAACCCAGTTGTGAGAGGCGGCCTGCAGTTTGAATCTGTGACATGAGGTGCTCTGAGCCAACAGCTGCAGGGATTTGTGTCTTCCTCTGGTTCAATCTGGTCTGTTGGTGAGTTCATGTGCTGCTGGAAACATGCAAACACACTATGAGCGGAACTTGGGTTGCGGTCGAATAGTCCATTTAGCTTAGGAACCTTCCTAACGGAGTGAAATGACCCGGAAGTACCTCAGTGGCAGCCATGATAAGAGCCGTTCGAATTCTCTAGATGATAGGAAAGGAGGTTTCAAACTTCCTTTATAACCTCCTTTAGCTTAAGAAACACTGGAACTTCCTTTATGAGAGAAAAGGAGAAAATGCTGCCCCACAATGCCTTGCAGCCGCAGCATTTGTCATCGCACAACAGTCGGCCGTTCACGGAAACAAACGATTATGACGGAGAAATTATATCATGAAAGTTACGGTGCTTATTAAGCATTTTAAAACGTATGTGGTAAGTTGCCAAAGTGCTTTGTTTTGAACGTTCATCAGTATTATAATCAAAGAGAGAAATATGAACGTTAGTTTTTACTGAAATGATCAAATAAAGTCAACATTTCACAGTCTTTACTGAGCTGTGTGGGGTTTGTTCAACTTTTAAAATATGTTTGAATGGTGATATACACAGTGATAGATGTTAAGGACTAACGTTTATAATAAATACATTTGAATTGATTTTAAGATATTTTCATAGTTCATACAATCATACGTATTGGGATCATTTGTATTAATGTGGACCGGAGGGAGAGGGTGACGAGCATAAGTTTGACTTTCCTTTTTTATTTCAATTCCAACTTTGGTCCTGAAGAATATGTTTCTCTGTTGTCCACGTTCATAAAGCATAAAGCAACAGTATCAGAGCACGGTGCAGAGTCTCTAGATGAGTTTACTGTAGTCCCTCGTTCTTATTGAACATCCATGTTGTAGTCCGCTGTATAGAAAACTGTAGTTTCCATAGTTTCCCCACAGCAGCAGACGCACATTCATGACGTCCGCTGGCGCATCATAAACACGTCGGATAGTGAAAGTGCAGTCGGATTCTCTAAAGTACCGCGGTCTCTTCTCCTAAGTCCTTTTGAATTCTCCTATCCACTATCCCTTAACCCCATGACGTTTCAGTCAGAGGTCAAGGCATAGACGATAGGGTTAGACGTTAGGAGCCGATTTTTGGACTATTCGACTGCAACCTTGGTATGAGTTTGAAGAAACCTGTCAGAAATTCAGAAATACAGTATGAGCTAAAATAGGATTTAAAGAGATTACAAATATATGAAATGCCTGTTTGGTTAAAAATGCATTAAATACATAATTAAATATGTTCACAGATAACTGAAATATGTCTATATTAACCTTTTCAGGAGAAAGCTAAATTGTATTATGAGTAAATAAATGACCAATTATGTAAACCCCAACGGACACTGGTTGCTCTTACAACCTGAAGGCATCACTTAAAGTTTTTAGAAGAACATTCCTTATTAAATATACAATAGCTGTTTAGTTATACACATATATTATTAATTGTAAAAGCAAACACATCATAACTAAGGAGAATGTATATTTTACATATTTTCTAACCTAAAACAACTTTCTATAGATTTTTGAATCTTTAATTAAAAAAAAAGGTTTTATGGGAGAAAAAAAGTGAAATCCCCTGATCATTGCAAAATATCACACTTCAGTGTATCTTTGAATTTATGCATATATTTTTATTTATTATTCTTTTTTATCTATTTTTGTATCATATACAAATGTAACACTAAAATTATATAAGATTATTTTCATCCTGTATCAGCACTTGTTTCATTCTTTCTTTAGCTTCAGTTTAATTGTTCAGTTGTTTTTCTATTACATTGAAACGCATTGTATTGTCTAAAGTCAATGTACCTGTACACTTTAGTTAAGTAGTAAACCAAAGTTGAATATCTGTTGTAATATCGGTTGGTCTTATAGTTTACAAGGAGTCTGTGAAGGCAGCATGGCAGGCGTGTTGACGGTTGACTCCAGTAGCCCCGCCCCCTGTGCCCTCAGCTCTACTTCCTGCTGCTAACATAACTTCTCTGTGCAGAATACAGCAGGACAGCAATCACACTAACGGCAGCTAACACCTGATGAACACAAAGCCGTAAGTGTTTCTAACCTTATAACGCCGTACTTGACCAATACATGTACACTGGTTCAGCTAGCTTAATGTTTTGTAGGCCTAACTCTAACTACAAACGTAGGAAACCCCTCCAGTCTCCCTTGTTTACGTCAGTTCTACCTTAGATTATCCTACTGCACTCAAATGAGCCGCGGAGATGTACGTTTTTTACCCATATATACACCGTAAACTAGTGCGTTAGCAACTAGTAACGTAGACACATCACCTCCAAGTTAGCATAGCATATAGGTAATTAATACCAGACTTTTGTTATGTGTTAAAAAGTCACTGTATACATAAGCGTCCTTGAATTAAAAATAAGCACGGTAACCGGAGTTAGTATGACAACAAATAGTGTGTATTACCGGTGTCATGGCACGTGTGACTGTGAGTCAACAGGATTAGTGTTAATGTGCCAGTTTACTGCACGAGCTGTTAAACTAAGGGAGGCGGGGCTTCACTGTCTTAACAGACTGCAGCAGTTTATCATTCATCAAACAAATGTAACTGTTTCTAAATGGACGGGGATATTATGACGCTTGTTTAGATTGTTCCTCTTTTAAAACCGAGAAAGTAGCCAATAGAGTAATAAAGTGCTAGAGAGAAATATAAACTGGTAGTAATTGATACCATAGAAATGTAGCTGCTAAGCTAACCCCATCACATCTATAATACTCAAAGGTGGGAAAGGTAAGTACAAGTAGTAGTAACAGAGTGTAGGAATCAGTGGCGGCGCTAGGGGGTGGCTACTTGGGCTCAAGCCCCGGATGTTTCCTGAAAAGCCCCGGATGTTTCACTTAAAAAAACGTCTCGGGAGTAATGTGCAGTCCACCAGAGACGCATCCGCTGCAGGACATTAGCCTGCGTACTGCGTAGCCTGCCCTGAAGTAGAAGTGATCCTTCCTAGTGCCTGACGAGTTTTAAGCTAATAGCCTATACAGTTATGGATATTAGAAAGTTATTGTCATTGAAGCAGGCGCCACAAGCTGCAGCAGCAGTATCAGCAGCTGACAACAATGTCATCACCAGCAGTGAAGAAATGGATGATGTTTCAGGTTTGTGAATCTAATGGTGATATCTGCACTCTGGCTGACTGAGTAAGAAGTGAAAAAGAGTGATGTTAATGTTATAGCTAGTAAACATGGAGTAACCACACTAAGTATACCCTTATGTTAGTATGTATACAGAACATGACAAAAAATTATCCTAAGATGTAACGTTAACCCTTCATACCTCAGTCTACTTTTAAGACACTAAAATAACGTATTCCATTTTTTATTTTGTTTTCGCGAGTGGAATTATACCGGCTCTCGTTTCAGTACACATAACAACGGAACTGACAGGCAACCCTCTGAATCAGACTCTGATTGGCTGTGACTGCATCCACTCAGAGTGTCCGATTCAGAAACGTGACTCTTACAAATTGTTTACGTCACAAACAAAGATGGTGGATGAGAATAGATCTATAAAACGATAAGCAATGCGCCAGAATCAAGGTGAGACTATCCGCATCCTTTAAAACTCTACGCACATTCGTTTCACCTTAATAAGTAAACGACTATTTGAGTGAGTTAAGGCATTAGTTTGCTTCATTAAAGGGTGTTAATGAGTGTTCTCCAGTGCCTTTTGTCCGCTTTAAGGTGTTATTAAGGTAGGGTTAATGTTGCTCTCAAAGTGCACCAGATTGATGCTTTCAACTTCAATATTTAAAAAAAAATCTTCCCGGGGGAGCATGCCCCCGGACCCCCCGAGAGGAGGCAACGACCTCCCTAAAGGATGTTCGGTCCACCCCCCACTTATAAAAAATAGCACTGTACCCCTGCATCACTTTAAATCTTCCATTTAAAGTGATGTTTAAAACTCAGTTAATGGGGCTCATTCACTGGAGCTTCCACAAACAACAATCAACTTAATTATTACATTCAAATGATGTACATTATTCAAGTTTACATTCACTTTGGATAATAACACGGGAGAAATGAGCGGAAGCGCTCTCTTTTCCTCTCTCCCCCTCTCTCCCTCCTGACAGCCTGTCAGTATCTCATGCAGCTCACTGATCCAGTAATGAGTGACCCGACAGTGAAGAATAAATATATTTATAATAACTAGTTTAGCTTGTTCCAGAGGTAGATCAAATAGCTAAGTAGGTCTAACTCTTGTGTGTTTTGCTCCGCTCACCGGTCCGTCTCAGCGGGCGGAGCTGCAGGACTTCTGCTTCACACACGTTGCATTCCGCTATTTTACTGTCTTTTTCGGACACCTTGAAATACTGCCAGACCGGTGAAGCCATTTTGGCGAGCTTGTTTTGCCGCGCACAGAGAAAAGTGTCATGTATTTTACGTCATGCGATCGGCTCTCGCGATCGGCATGGTTAGAGAGCACCGATCGATCGGTAGAGAGTGAGTATCGGTCGATCTCGATCGGTGACCGATCGATCGGAGCATCCCTAATGTTTTATAATTACTGATCATTAAAGTGTTCTCAAAGCTGGTAAAGGTGCAGCTAGTTTGAATGACTTTGTATACTGCAGGGTAGCTTGTGGATTTACTCCAGGTGTAACTTAAGTCTGATTTACAGGTCTTTTGCGGTTATTACCTGTGAGTTATGAAGCTTTTCCTGCATGTAAGCGGTCTGCAGAGTCACAAACCCTCAAAGTACACCCTGTAGCGAGTAAAACTCTAACACAGAAAATACCTGTCTCTGCTGCCCCAGAACGCCACGTTCGACATTTTTATTTTTCCATTTTTTTCTTCCTGGTCGTAGTGACGTAAGGGTCACAGTGACGTAACGGTCCGCGGACTTCCTCACACATACACACTCACTCAGCCTTATCTTTTCTCAGCCGCAGCTCCGCAGATTTCTCAGCCAGACTCACAGCCAGGCTACAAGTGTGAGTGTGTGTGCTCAGGCTGAGTTTCGCGGTGTCTCGCTGTCTCGCAGACCCCACGCAGCAACCAGGAAACGACACCAGTAATCCAGCTCACACTGTCCGCAGCAGCGAGCCCGAGCGAGCCCTGCAGCGTCCCGCCAACACGGCATCCAGACCCCACGCAGCATTCTCATCTGTTTGTCATTACTGGTGTCATTTTCTGGTTGCTAACAAACGCCATTGTAACACATAATCACTGATGTTCTGCTGTAATGGTGGTGGACTCATCAGAACAGAGTGGGCGAGCTGACCAATCAGAGCACAGTGGGCTCACAGGGAGGGGGGGGCAGGAGCTCCAACAAGCCGTGTAGGACAGAGAGTGAATACACATACTATACAGAGATGCTGTTTGAGAAACCAATGTGAGTTTGGAACATTGAACAATATAAATCTATTCTAGTAGACCTCAACAATGGAATTATGATCAGTAGAAATGGCCATGACATGAGACCTTTAAGACTTGATTATATTTCACATCATTCATCCAAATCTGTAAAGTAACTAAAGGTTTAATTCTAAATGTAGTGGAGTAGAAGCAACAAAACAAATTACTCAAGTCAAAGTACCTCAAAATTGTACTTAAGCACAGTACTCAAGTACATCTACTTAGTTACTTCTCTGATAATACTGAATGTTTCTTGTTGTTTTAGGTCATTGTGGATTTAATGTGTATTGTCTCCTCGAATTAAATAGTTTTGACAAATTTGGATTCCAAGATAGAAAGTGATAATTGTTGAGTTGTCAGATAAAATGAATAAAATAATGAAAACAGATGTAAACATTAGAAACATTTATTTAAAAAAAGAAAACAAACTGTATTCAGACTCTTCACAAGTTATTGCATACATGTTTTTGTTCGTTTTTATTGAGGACTGGGGCTAAATATAACTAAGTTTCAAGAGTCGGAGGGAACACCAGCAGAAGTTGGGCAGAAGGAATGTTGTGGTGGGGGAAATGAGTCATGAGGGAAATGTCTCATGGCTTCAGCGTTTTGTTTTCCCATGAAGAAGGAAAGTGGTGCCTCTGTGCTGCTGTCTTGTGCCAGCACTGTACTCCTCCCTTCAGTATAGACTCTTGAATACCTCCGTCAGTTGTGTTCTCCTGAGGGCACACTGACTATCTGCCCAAAGCTGGCTCCTGATTTATTGGAATGTGCCATTAACGTCTTCTTGAAAATGCACATTAGACGGGGGACAAAATATTTGAATGTTTCCAAAAGTGAAGGAAATATAACTGAGTATGTTCAAGTAGGACACGAAAAAACATTATTTGAAAGACAATCATGGGACTAATTTTAAGAAAATAATATTGTTGATGCCAATACATTTCAAGAAACAAGCTTTCCCATGATGCCACCAATTTGAACCTTATGTTATACCATGCCTTCATTGTAAATGTCTGTTCAAACTTCAAGCTCCCAGTTTGTAAAACAAATATTTTCTGTTAAAAATGGTGGTAAATGTTTTTCCTTTCCTTCAAAATGAAATAGTTGGAGTGGAGTATTTGAACAGAGAGCCGTTTGCATGTAACAGGAAGCGAAAGGAGTGCCTGTAACACTAACCTGATCAAGAAAATAAATGTGGAATGATTATCAACTTCATATATATTTTATATATACAGCTCTGGGAAGAATTAAGAGCACACTGCAGCATTATCAGCTTCTCTGGTTTTACTGTTTATAGGTGTCTGTAAAATGAAAATGTTTTAATTTTATTCTATAAACTACTGACAATATTTCTCTGTGTTGGAATTCGACAGACACTGGAATGGAATGGCTGCAATAGATTGAGATTGAAGAACATTTTCGAGTGGTCCCTTTTTTCTCTCACTCAGACGCACATTTATCCCGCTTGCTCTCGTTTATTTTTGCCATGAAAGGCCTTCTGACATAGAGGCCCAGTCAGAAAGTAAAAAACAAATGTTTTACTATATCTATTCATAACAACTTTGCTTGAGCTAGATGGATAACATCATGGGGTTGAGGAACGATGTGGAAGGGAATTCATCAGGACTTAGGAAAGATAAGATCAGACTGCACATGAGTCTGCTGTGGTGAAACTACAATGTTCCATACATGGACTACAAGAAATGCTTCTAGAAACCCTGAGCTTTCCTTTAGTTGTATTCAAAGCGACTTGCATGCACTTCAGTTCCATAGACATGCCGACTGGTGCAATTTGGGGTTAGATATCTTGCCTAAGGACACGTTGACATGTTTTCAGGAGGCTGACAGCGTACCAACCCCCTACAGCTATAGAATCGTGAACAACAGTGACAAATAGAACTGTATTAGCAAGTTTGGAAAATAAATAAAAAAGGGAAGTGACAGCAAATAGTTGTCACATTCAAAATGGTTGCTTGTGCTCACCCTACTGTCCACTTAAATAATTGACATGAATCCCAATTACATAACTTTATCAAAACAATTGCATCAATAACACTTCATGCGATATATGCATTACTTGTGAATCTTACAAATCTACTACTTTGCATATCGGTATTCAAACATGTTGAACTAAAAAGAGCTTCTCAACCTCCACATTAACAACACTGAAATGTTGACTTTTGATTTGATCATTTTACAAGTAGTTAGCATAACATCCATAGTTTGCCTTTTGGTTTCACATATTCGTGAAAGTTCCAAACATAAAAGCCCTTTAGCAGGTTTAAGCATAACATGTTATATGCATCATAGGCACTGTAACTTCCATGATCTGCATTTGTGAGTCATGATCAGATGTTTTCGTAGAAAATCGATTGGTGCGTCACTTTGAATGTTCAGGCTGCAAGGAATTGTGGGACAAGATTATCTCCTTTCCTTTTGTTGAGGATGGTCCAGTGTATCCTATGCTAGAGGAGATAATAAAGGAAGCATTGAGGCTCCTCCTCTAGAGGAAAGCTCTTGCCATGGCTGCTACTTAGAAACTTCCGGGTCATTTTACTCCATGAGGAACCTTCCTGAGAGACTACTGGACCTGAGTCTGACCTGTGTTTTTGTTTCAGGCCCGGGACTGGTCATGACACAGCAGCAGTTCAAGGAGAGCCTGGAGGCGGCCCTCTCCTGGATGCGGGTCGTCCAGGAGAGGCTGAAGGCCAACGACAACACCCAGGGCCCCCGAGACGCCCTGGAGGGCCGACTCAGGGAGACAGAGGTGAGATACTTCACCTTCTGTTGGACCCTTTGGTGACCCCTGACGCTACTTCAGTCTTTCATTAGACTCCAGAGTGGGACAGCTGCTCTTTAAACGGAGTACAGTGTCTGAAGAAACTTCCAATTTCTCTTGACATGTTACTATATATAGAAATACAATTTAGAAATCACAGAGAAAAATGAATATTCCAGAAATGCTCCATGGGATACATCGTCATAAGAAGGGGAATAAAACACACCACTGGATTAATGGCAGACCTTCAGAAACAAAGTGCCTGCAGACTGTTAAAGATGCAATGTGTAATATCTAGCATTAGCTCTATAGAAAAAATGGGGCAGCATCTACTACTGGGTCCATACAATCTCGATTTATAGTAATCCGTTTGAAAAGAAGAATCAAAATACCAAACGGCAACAAAGCGAGACTATGCAAATTCCATTTAAGTGCAGACTGTTGAGGCCAATAAAGTAAAGTAAAAATAACACAGCTCTCTGAGATGTTCACGTGTGGGTCTATATTAAAGTAAGCCAGTGTTGTGTTAATTTAGCAAATCTTTGTAGTGGCATACATGTAATGGTGGTTCTACAACCTCCATGTCAGTCCGTCATGTCATTGGGCGCAACATTTTTTTTTGATTGACGTAAATCCACATGCCAGGAAGATCACTTTAATAACCCTAATTTGCGTAAAAGATGTGAAACGTGCCAAAAGAAAAAACATATCGATGGGCCCATACGATCTGGGTACTTTTTCTCTCAACAGTCAGGCAATTCTACCTTCATGCGCCACTAAGCAACTTTCATAGGACCCCGCCTCAAAGGCTGTATCCACCTCTCTTTATACATCGTGCATAGTGCATACTCAATATCACTGCTATAGGTACAAGGGCTATTTCAGTGAGCATGCTTATTCAAGTAGAAACATAACATATTGACGTCTTTGACATAACTGTAGACTTTTCACATTCTGGTGATATTCTTAGTTACATTATTAACCTTTGAACCCCTTCTAGTTAATTCACAGGCATGTTACCATTTGAGGGTAGTGCTTCGAGATACTTCTAATGTTGTTTACATTTGACATTGACTGTAACGCTGCTCCCTGTGCTCTGATGAACAGAAAATCCACCACTCAGTGCACGAGGGCCGTCTGAAGATGGACAAGGCGCTGGTGGCAGCTGAGAACCTTTTGAAGAGCGAAGATGAAGAGCTGAGGAACCACAACCACGCTAAGCTCAAAGACCTGAAAAGCCTGTGGGAGGAGACCTCCACCTACATCATCCACTGTCACAGGTGCTGCACACTACAGCTTACAGGAGATCTGCGATAATATCAGGAAGAATCATGTGACATGACGGGTGAACTTTAGGATTTTAGCCTTCACAGACCATTAACATGCACACAAATCTATATACAGGGTGTCCGCGGGGTCTTAACAAGTATTAAAAGTTGATAAATCAATTTAGCGAAAATTAAGGCTATTAAAAAATATTAAACGGCATTTTCAAAGGTATTATTAAGAAGCAACGACAACATGAAACACCCTTTAATTGACTGAAATGACATGTCGGGAAACCCCCTCAAGGCGTCCCGTAAAATGCTGCTTCTTATTTTAAGTTTCGTTGCCTTGCTCCGCTCTGGGGGGGGGGGAAAGAGTCTGTCGATGAGGATCAAAGCTGTCCGGTCCCACATGCTAAGTGCTAGCCAGAAAGCTGCAGCGTTTAAGTCCCAACTCACACCGCTGCAGTGCAGACTCTCTGCACGGAGGAGCCGCAGAGGAAGAGACACACTTTCACTAGTAAGCCAAACTATATCCGGTCACAGAGATCTGCTATTTTAAAGTAAAGTCAACACATATCGACCCTAAATATAGTCTATATTAAGAACGAGAAAAGTCATAATCGTTTTTTGTAAACATATGACAAATGTGTGAGGGTGATGACATCAGAGCATCTTAGCCCCGGACAGCCCCGGCCCAATTGAACCCCTGGGTATTTGTGAGGGAGCTCCTATATGGCATTACCCCGCTGAAGCTTAATATATTTCATAGTTACATTACATTACATTGCATTTAGCTGACGCTTTTATCCAAAGCGACTTACAATAAGTACATTCGACCAGGAAGACACAACCTTGAAGAAAACAGAATCATATAAGTACATCAGGTTTCATAGAGCCAAACATTTCAAGTGCTAAATAAAGGACTGGCTTTAGGTAAGCCAGTGCTTTATTAGTATAAAAGTGCTTCGTTAATAGTTCTAACGCTCGAAGTGGAGTCGAAAGAGATGAGTTTTCAGTTTGCGCCGGAAGATGTGCAAGCTATCTGCTGTCCTGATGTCAATGGGGAGCTCATTCCACCATCTTGGAGCCAGGACAGCAAACCCACGTGTTTTCGCCGATGGGAACTTGGGTCCCCCTCACAGCGAGGGCGCAACGAGTCGTTTGGCTGATGCAGAGCGTAGTGCACGCGCTGGGGTGTACGGTTTAACCATGTCCTGGATGTAGGAAGGGCCAGATCCATTCGCAGCATGGTAAGCAAGTACCAGTGTCTTGAAGTGGATTCTAGCAGTTACCGGAAGCCAGTGAAGGGAGCGGAGGAGCGGAGTGATGTGGGAGAATTTAGGAAGGTTGAAGACCAGACGAGCCGCTGCATTCTGGATGAGCTGCAGAGGTCGGATGGCACATGCAGGTAGACCAGCCAGGAGGGAGTTGCAGTAGTCTAGGCGTGAGATGACGAGAGCCTGGACCAGAACCTGAGTCGCTTTCTGAGTCAGCTGGGGACGTATCTTCCTGATGTTGTAAAGCGTGTATCAGCAGCAACGGGTTGTAGCAGCGATGTTTGCAGTGAAGGACAGGTTGTTATCTAGGGTCACACCCAGATTCCTTGCAGTCTGAGTCGGGGAAACAACTGAGGTGCCGATGTTGATTGTTAGGTCAAGAGTGGGACAATCTTTTCCCGGGAGGAAGAGCAGCTCAGTCTTGTCAAGGTTGAGCTTGAGGTGGTGAGCAGACATCCACTGAGAGATGTCAGCTAGACAAGCAGAGATGCGTGCAACGACCTGGGTCTCTGAGCGGGGAAAGGACAGAATTAATTGGGTGTCATCAGCGTAGCAGTGGTATGAAAAACCATGCGGGCTAATGACTGATCCGAGCGAGTTTGTGTACACGGAGAAGAGGAGGGGACCAAGAACAGAGCCCTGAGGGACCCCCGTAGTTAATTGACAAGGGTCGGACTCAGACCCTCTCCAAGTCACCCTGTAGGTACGGTCTTTCAGGTATGAGGTGAGGAGGGAAAGTGCAGAGCCTGAAACTCCAAGTTTTTGGAGAGTGCGAAGGAGGATCTGATGATTCAACGTGTCGAATGCAGCAGACAGGTCCAATAGGATGATGACAGAGGAGAGGGATGCAGTTTTGGCAGTGTGCAGTTCCTCCGTGACAGCAATGAGAGCAGTTTCTGTGGAGTGACCTGCCTTGAAACCAGACTGGTGCGGATCCAGAAGGTTGTTCTGATGGAGATAGCAGGAGAGTTGTTTAAAGACAGCGCGTTCAAGTGTTTTACACAGGAACGGGAGGAGAGAGACAGGCCTGTAGTTTATAACATCAGACGGGTTGAGAGTGGGTTTCTTTAGGAGAGGGTTTACTCTTGCCTCCTTGAGACTGTTTGGAAAGTGACCAGAAGTTAGAGAAGTGTTGATGAAATGGGTGAGAAACGGTAGAATATCAGGAGCGATAGTCTGAAGGAGGTTTGAAGGGATAGGGTCCAGAGGACAGGTGGTAGGGCGGGCAGAGGTAATGAGGGTAAGAACCTCACTTGGAGAGAGAGGGGAAAATTAGGTTAGTGTGTGGGTGGAAGGAGGGTCTGGTGACCCAGCGGTGAGTAAAGGTGAGTCAGAAAAAGAAGAGCGAATATCATCAACCTTTTTTTCAAAGTGGGTAACAAAGTCGCTTGACAGAAATGAGGAGGGGGAAGGGGCTTTGGGGGGGTCCAGGAGGGAGGAGAAGATGGAAAATAGTTTTTTAGGATTGGAATAGGAAGATTGGATCTTATCTTGAAAGAAAGTGCTTTTTGCCTGAGAGATCGAAGCAGAGAAAGAGGAGAGGAGAGCCTGATAGGTTAGGAGGTCGTCACGGTGTTTGGATTTCCACCATTTCCGCTCTGCTGCCCTAAGGACGGTTCTATTAGCATGCAGTGCATCATTTAGCCAGGGAGCAGGAGGGGACTGACGAGCCTGCCGAGATGTGAGAGGACAGAGCGAGTCCAGAGTGGATGAGAGAGTAGAGAGGAGAGTTTCTGCAGCAGAGTTTGGAGGCAGGAGATGGAACGAATCAGAGGAAGGGAGGGCTGAGAGCACCGATGAGGCAAAGGTAGGGGGGGAGAGGGAGCGAAGGTTACGGCGGACAAGTGCAGGATGGGAAGAGATTAGTTTGTTATGTTTGGAAAGGGATAGAGAGAATGAAATGAAGAAGTGATCGGATGTGTGGAGCGGGTTTACAGAGAGGTTAGAAGTAGAGCAGTTCCTTGAGAATATGAGATCAAGGACATTGCCAGCTTTATGAGTCGGTGGGGACGGAGACAGTGAGAAAGCAAAGGCGGTTAACAGAGATGTTAGTTCGTCTATCTTCCCCGTCTGGAGGTTGAAGTCTCCGAGAAGTACAGCGGGAGGGCCAGTTTCAGGGATGAGTGAGAGGAGATTATCTAATTCCTCCAAGAAGTCCCCCAAGGCGCCTGGTGGACGGTAGAGAACAACAATGGTTAACTGTATAGGATGGGTTACTGTGACGGCATGGAATTCAAAGGTGGAAGGAGTGAAGTTAGGTAGCTTGAAGAGGGAAAAGCTCCATTTGGGAGATAGCAGGAGACCAGTGCCACCTCCTCTGCCAGTGGGTCTGGGTGTATGGGAGAAGGAATATGCAGTGGAGAGAGCTGCTGGGGTGGATGTGTTGGATGGAGTAATCCAGGTCTCAGTGAGAGCAAGGAAATCCAGAGACTGCAGGGAGGTGTAGCCAGAGATGAAGTCAGCCTTGGGAATAGCTGACTGGCAGTTCCACAGGCCACCTGAAACTAGATGTTGGATCTCAGTGGAGCACGTGGGATAGACGAGAGCAGGCCGGTTATATCGATTAGGAGATACACGGGGCCAGTGATAATTGCGAGAAGACACATAAACAGGAATGGAGAAAATACACATGATTATAGCATGAGGGGCTAGAAAACTAAAGAAAAGAGAAATAAGACACCAGCTCAATCAGAGTAGGATTTGCCTCCTCTTTGCCTCCCTCGTGACTCCCGCAGGACTCCAATGTCTTTGTCAGTCTTACTCCCGCAGGACTCCAATGTCTTTGTCAGTCTTCGGCTGTCTGACGCTGAAGCTGACGCTCCAGGAAAGAGCTACCCAAAAATGGACGCCTGATTGCTCAGTTCACACAGCTGTAGGGCCACGGCCCTCTAATTAGTTAACTATCTACAGCTGATGGGCGACAATAGACTGGCCGTGCCTATATTAATGCAGGCTTGAGTGCTGAGAGCTGTAAAGCAGGTTTCGCCTGAGCAGATCTGAGATTTAAAATCTCTCAAACGCGATTTAGCCGTTTACACTACAATAACAATTTATACAGAGTCGAATAAATGAAACAGAGAAGTCTAATTAAACAAGAATATAACTTACAGTGGTTGCTGCGTCAATAGGTAATGTCGTCACCAGGTCTAGATGCACACTAGTTCAAAGTTTTGTTTATTGGTCAAATACTGGTTTCTAATGGTTTCTGAGGAGTTTTACTGGAATGAAACAGCACAGAGTACAGAAGCAACAAAGCAGCATACTGCATTAAACCTGACCTTCACAGAGAGGTTGAAGTTCATGTGGAGAGGAGGCTTCAGTAGTCTGTCTGCACTCTGTTTAGTTGTGCTATCTTACAATCAATATAGTAAATGTGAGGTAAAGTGTGTCGCCAATGTAACCGGTTAAAACTCAAAGTTGCGATGAGGTACTAAAATATATGGAAAGGGTCTTAAAAAAGGTCTTAAAAGGTATTAAATTTGACTTCAGGATTCCTGCATATACCCTGATGTAACCCCGAATAGGGGCCCTTTAAGTGTAAAATCCGACCCCTCCTCCTCCACTGCATATACATATGTAGTCTGTGGTGAACCATACCCAGATACCCAGCCTCACTCTTCTTCATGTGTCTCCCCTCCCAGTCGTATAGAGTGGGTGTGGCTGCACTGGGGCGAGTACCTGAAGGCCTACGAGGAGTTTGAGCTGTGGCTGACCAGGCAGCAGCGCAGCCTGGATGTGGGTGTGGAGCTGCAGCTGGGGGTGAAGGAGAAGCTTTGGCAGGTGGACCAGCAGAGGGTGGGGCTGAGCGACATCCAGGGCCAGGCGGCGCTGCTGGAGAGGCTGTTGGACGAGGCCTCCGCGCTCCACAACAGAACTCAGGACCCCAGCGTGGATCCCCAGGCCCAGGAGGGGCTGCAGGAGGACTACAACGATGTCAGAGACAGGGCGGAGGTGAGCTGCTGTGCTCTGACTACTGAGCTGTCACCTACAGCCTGCTGCATACTGACAGAAGGTTTGCGTGTAGAGTGGTGTAGGAATGACACATTTTTGTAGGCCAACCCAGAAGTTTGCATAACAAGGGTTCCCTCGACAAAAAGCTATGGGACTTTTATGGGCACTTTTATAATTGTTGAAGTGTAAATGCAGAAGTAAAAAGCTAACATTTCCAAAATGAAAGGCTATAAGCAAACTACATTACGGTCACATGACTTCACGTCACCACTGCTAAGCTAAAGGCGGCTAATGTTCATCGTGATGACGTTTAGTAGTCTCATTGAGTCACTTGTTAGCAACCGCTGTTTTTAAGACACATAAGGCGCTTTCACACAGCAGTACTTTACCCACAAAGTTTCATCAGAACTTAGTTCATGAGAACTCTTTAGTTCTAATGTACAGATCGCGTTCACACCGGAATAAGTCCCTGAGGGAGGATTAGGCAAATGAAGCCGCTGACGTCACTTCTTCTTCTTCTGCTTTGGGTTTACTGGCAGGCCGCAAACCACTTCACGGCGTATACTGCCACCCGAAGACAGAAGTCCCCGGAGTTAGGGACTGGCTTCAGTAGAAGCTGCTGGGAGTCCCAGCAGCTTCTACTGAAGCCTTCCGAGTAAATCGCCAGAACGCCGACACCTCCTCATCTCCACCGCTCCCATGTTTTCTTTTGTGTTGCCATAAGTTAGTCTCTCTGCGTTTCTGCGCTGGGCTAATGCTAATGCGAGCACTTCCATTTCCCTCGTCTAAAACTCAATGGTTTTATGAATGTGTTTTTGGTTAGATCACTGTGGTTTACATGAGTTTAAGAGATTTTCTCGTTTGTTCTACGACATTAAATACATCAGTACATACCCCACTTCTATAGGCACGTTCACACTGCAGTACTTTTCCCACTAGTTCCGATATAGTTCCGAAATGTCGCGTTCACACCAAAAAGTGCCGGAACTAAAATGTGTTCATGAGAACCATTTTACCCTCTGAGAGCAGGTACTTTCGTGGGAGAAAAAGGTTCCTATTTCTGATTGGCTGGGCTAATGCTAATGCGATAATAAAATGGCGGCTTCACACACCCTTTTGGGAGTTTTACGGGGCGTGGTTTGCTCTCAGAGCCAGCTATCGAAAGAAGACCGCTGAATATCCAAATCGACCAATTAGAATTGAATATTAAACATTAAACTAAGCCATGTAATAAAGGGAGACAGCAGTTGACTGAATCATTTCATTCAGTGAGAGATACTGAGGGATTAGTCCACACCAACATGCATGTCGGCTGCTTTTCTCCTCCGTGAGCCGCATAATGAGACTGCTCTTCCTCTTCCCTTTTCAGACAGCCTTCCTAGTGTCACTCACATTTTACCACACACCCACAAACATTGTTATCTGCATCACACATTCACATAAACACACCAGTCGGATGGCAAATATCTCATTCTGAAGTATGGATTTAGATAATGTTATGTTTTACGGGATAATCTTCACCCCCGTCTAAAAATGCAATGTGCTCTCAAGAGTCTTGTAGTTGAAAAACCAGACGATAGATTTTAGTCTCTCAGAATACAAATGCACACTTTTCGCTCTGATACGCTGTGTGTATGTTTGCTGTGAGATGTGGGTTGATTTGAACAAAGCTTTGTTGACATTTCCCCTGCTGTGCTACTGTAGGAGCGTCTGTCGCTACTTCAGAAGATGGCTGAGGAGCACCAGACTTACCAAGGCTGCGTTCACAGGTTCCAGTCCTGGCTGCTGTCAAAAACCAAAGAGCTAACTGATCTGATGGAGAGGGAGGAGACAGCAGAGAACAAGCTCAAAGCCTTACAAGTGAGACGCACTCAGATGAATTAAGAAGCATGTATCTAAACCTGTCCTTTTAAATGGGAGAAGGGAAAATATGGTATTTGGAGTTGAATGAATATTCTGAGCTGGGTAACATGTGTTTTTAAACTCCAAAAGTACCAACAAATGGAGTGGTGCAGTGATGATGTGTTTTTGTAGCCAGACCTATAAGTTATTAGAGCAAGGGTCCCCTCGACAAGAAGCAATGGGATTTTTCCATGGATTCTAGAATATTGCAAAAATAAGATAATCGCAGGATACTCTCCACATATCAATTCCACTTTATGACTTTTGAAGCTAAAAAAGTCAAAGGCTAACATTAGGAACTACTTCACAGTCACATGATTGTTGTTACCTTCGATATGGTGGCTAATGTTCGACCTGATGACATTTAGTAGTCTCATTCAGTCCCTTGTTAGCAACCAATGTTTTATGACTCCATACAAGTGGGGTATTTACTGACATATTTTATGTAGTGAAGCAAATACTTAAAATCCCTTCAGCTTGTGTTAACCACATAACTTATTTGAGGCATCAACCCAAAAGTACATTCAAATATCGATTAACTTTGAGAACAGGAATGGTTCAAATGCTGACCTCATTTACAGGTTTCGTACTCTTTAAAAAAGTAAATATAATTATCGTCATGGTGGATCAAGACATACAAAGAGCATACACGGATCATAAGACCAATATGTGTTGGTTATTTAGCATTAGGGATGACAGCAGAACTTGTTAAGACACATGTCTAACACTACATCATTCTAAATATAAAAATAGGAATCCTATCTTATCCAAATGTTACTGTACAGTGTATATCTCAAATGATGTCTGTCTTTGTTTTAGTGTGATTAATGTACAAACCATTAACACAGGAAACAACGAACACTTTTTACCGTCATTATTATTTTTGACAACTAAAATTCATAAATGTATTTCCTGTATTCCTAAAATGTATTTTAATATATTTAAAGTATAATTTTAGGTGGCACAGATTACAAATTGAAAAAAATGTCCGTGTACCAAATACAATCCTCAAATAATAATAATTTTTAAAAAGGAACATTTTCCAATTCCATTTTCTAAATGACTGACTGTGAACATAGTTGTGCCTGATCCTTCCAGTTTCTGGCTGACATGTGAGAGCATACCGAGTCACTCTGTTAGGCAATTATAACTGTGGATATTATAACACATGAAAAAATCATTGAACATGCACATGTTACATACATAAATTATAGCGAAATGACCATGTGAGATAGTTCCACTTTTTTGACAACTAGCCTTAATTGTTAGGATTTCAGTATTCACAAATATTTAATGTTAAAAAAAAAAAATATGAAACCAAGTTGTAGGATATTTTTTCCATCTCAGCCTTCTAATCCAACACCACTCATCTTTATCTCCTGCTGCTGTGCCAGGCTCTGGACGACAGCGTGGCAGGAGAGGAGAAGACCCTGCAGCACATCGAGGGGCTGTCGGAGGCGCTGAGGGGCACCACCTCCCCCTCTGGGGCGGAGGTGGTGGTGGAGGAGGCGGAGGAGCTGAGGCTGGGCTGGCAGAGGCTGAGGCAGGGTCTGTGTGAGGGTGAGGAGGGGCTGCGCTCCAGCCTGGACTCCCAGAGTCAGTACACAGCCCGCTGCCAGAGACTGGGGGAGGACATCGGACACCTCAGGGTGCTGCTGCAGGGCCTGGACCAGGAGCTAGGGGAGGGCCGAGACCCCCCTGACCACACCGAGGAGCAGATGGTGGGCCAGTGGAGGAAATACACGGTACGTCTTCTTAACATATCTACAGTATTATTGAGTTAAAGAGGCCCTATTCTGCTTTTGAGGTTTTCCCTTCCCTGTAGTGTGTTCTATAGGTTTTTGTGCATGTCAATGGTCTGCAAAGCCTGAAATCCCTGTGTTCCCTCCAGAGGGAGTTTCTCTCAGGTGTAATTTTAATAAGGCGAGATTTATTTTTGGATTAATTAATATTTATTTACATGCACAAGATGATAGAAATGTGAAAAGTCTTTGGCGATTAGACCCTATCGGTGTATCATATCAACCCTACAATGTCCATTTCACAGTTAAAATAATTGTCCAACTTTCTTCCTAATGCAGTTTAACAATCCAGAAAAATGTAAATTCCAAAGTCATTAAAACAAAAAGTAGAATAAGGGCGCATTCACACCAGCCTTAAGTCCGGTTGAATCGAACCCTGGTGCGTTTAGCCGCTTGGTGCGGTTCATTTGGGTCGGTGTGAACGCAGTCCGAGACCTCTGAAGTGAACTAAACAACCGGACTCTGGTCCGCTAAAATAGGAGGTCTTGGAACGCTTGCTTGCGAACTCTGGAGCGGTTAATTGCTGGTGTGAACGCAGTGCGCACCAAATCATAGGAAGCGTAGTATTTACGTGTCACAAGAACGCGGATGTCTTCAAAAATCTTTAGCGAAAGACTCTTTCAAGACATCTGCGGTTGTTAATTTAAAGAGTGAAGCAGAATGAAGTGTTGAACAGTGTCGTGTAAAGTAAAAATGCTCCGTCAGCTACATAAAAGTAAGAACACCTGTCGCCCTCCTTACTGCAGAATGTCTCTCATGTGTTATAATGTTTTTTAACGGACGTTGTCTGATTATATAATCATATGCGCGGACCGCTAGTGTCTGTTGATCTCCAGATTAACAGCAGCATGAGAATAACCTGCCGAAAGTGCCGATGCTCCATGGCGGAAGCTCCGGTAGAAATTGCCGGGATTTGCGTTTTTACGCCCTTAATGTCTGACCAATGGTTGAACAGCATTTCCGTGCACATGACTTGTGTTTAAGTTTATAGTCCGTTTGAGTTTTGCCCGTGTGAACGCAAACCGAACCTTCTGAGAAATGAAACAATGTAACAAACTGTCGTCTGGTGTGCACCAGAGAAGCTAGGTGTGAATGCACCCTAAGAAAAAGGTCCAAAAAAGGCATCGATCTCACCAACCTAGGGGGCAAACAAAAACCCGGCTCTCACTGTTTGCTGCTCAATCTTTACCATCCTCACACTCCATTTGTCTCGATGTCCCTTAGCAGATCATACAAAGATCTAAATGCCCCTTTAGACTCTCTCTGGCATTCTGCTTGGCTCCCCTCCTCCTCTGTCTCCAAACAAACACAGCTTTCTCTTTCAAAAACAGTCCCCCCTTTTGTTCCCCAGGCCACGCCCCCTCACACCTGTGGGAAACAGCACACCAGTGCCCTGTACTACGAAGCAGGATTTGCGGTTAGCGAGGTAACTTCAGGATTAACTCTGGGTTTCCGCTCCTACAATGCTGGTTCACTTCTTACTGGGGTAGATCTCCATGGTAACTTATGCTGAACACCAAACCTGCTCCGGTTCCAGAGAAGAGATCAACTCAGTGAAAGCACCGCTTGCTGACCAATCAGAGCTCAGTGTGCGGGGTTTAAAGCTATCAAGTCTTATTAAGGAAATACAGTTAAAATTGCCGTTGCAAGAAAGACGGCCGGCAAAAATCACCGACTGTGTGAACGTGAAAATTAATAGAATATCAATCTGACTATTATAACATTAGCGTTAAGAAAGCTTACTTAAATATCTGCCACAACATAAGTAACCGGATCAGAGTAACATTACAGTCCACGACACTGAGTGCAGACATGGATGTGTCCATTATCATTCATATCACATCATAATGTATCATATATTTCCTGATCTGAGTCAGCTGAGCCGTATCTGGCCGTGCAACACTCACAGTGTCACATACTGTATGCAGAAGTATTATTTTAAGCAACACATTAAGTTGACGAAACACTCGAGTCAAATGTAACTAAAGTCAGATCGTGTCTTAGACGGGGCAGTGATATCATAAACCTGTTAATGTACGCATTCAAACACTTTTTCTTTTACCAGCTGTATTCACCTTGCAGGTGCAGCTCTGTGGCTTTGATCCTGGATAAAGTGTTTAAGTCAAGGATGTTTAAAGTTTAACTTCTTCATATTTGTCTAACGTGATTGTTTACTTTTCATTCATGAAGTATGACGCTGCGCTGTCAGTACGCTTGTCCATGTTTGTGATTGGTCAAATGTTGCTAACCCCGCCCCTTTCATGTGAACGTGCTCTCAGCTGGTGAGAGAAACCCTGGGTTGATTTTACCGAGTTGATAACCAGCGTCGTAGGACCGCTTAGCGAGATCTCGTTTGTTAGGGTTAGTTAAGCAAGAATCCTTCCTAGCCTCGGAAAACGAAGAATGGTGGAACAGGCTAACAGGTGTGCGTCATATGCGAGGCCCTGCCTTAAATGGGGCGCGATTTCCGCCAAAGATTTGGGAAATTGGTCCGTGCGCAAAGCATTATGGGGATTTTAAGACCGTGGAGGATACACATGTGCAGCCTCGAAATGTTCCGCAACGATGGACGCTGGCCTTGGTAGAATTCCAAGGATCCTGGACAGTGGAACAGTCCTTCGGCGGGACTCGATGACGTAGCATCCTTCAAATAGTGGCTCTGGAGGAGCCTTCCTCGACATTGAGAAAGACCCACTGGGTCAGGGAATATAAACCGTACATTCCCTTACATTTTTGGCGTTATCATAACTTATTTTTTTCTATTTGAAAGTTGATTGATTCCTTCTCTCGATGCCTTTCCTCCCTGAAATAACATCATTATTTCTCTAGTCCCTCTGAGACGTGATACAGTGGACCTGACTTGATGACTCTGGACTGGATTCTTTTGTAAACAGACTCTTGCTGCCCTGTCAGTGAAGCTGCTGAATGCCTCAGAGAGGTGTATCCACAGTCTGATTATTAATTATTTGTGGGTCTCTCACACCCTCCTCTTCGTCTGGCAGGTCACCTGCCAGACGAAGAGGAGGGTGTGACTGGAATGCTAAAGATCTGCATCCGTCTGTGTTCTGATGCAATCTAGACAGACTGTCACCTAACTGAGACACCGCCTATTTAACGCGTGGAATGGATTCAAAAGGACTCCAGTTTATCTACATTGCAAATAAGCCATTGTGGCTTAAATATGTAACTACTGACTATTTGCATTGACAGGAAATTGGAGAAAGGCCAAGTAAGATTTGTGGGCTTTTAATAAATACATTTGTTTACTAATTCACAGTAAATGTCAATGGCTGAAAAGAAGCCTTTCTAGAGTTTTAATAAGATGTTTTGTCTGTGTTGAAATCGATCCGGTCACATCCAAGAGGCCCTCCCAAGGTTCTGAGCCAATGAGTGCTTTGTCCTTCAGTTTGTTTTACACATACCAATTAGAATGATAAAAAAGAATGTTTCACTATTTATTCCGGTGGTTTTGTGACGGTTGTTCCGTTTCAGAATGAAATGAATAAAAGATAAATGGAAAATAAGAAGTAACAATAATAACATAATAATTCAACCTAAAAAATAAAGTAAGTTTGCAATAAAAAGACTAAATAAAAATGAAATAAAGCTATTCTTGTAAACATAAGTTAAAATAAAATATCCAGTAAAAGATACAAAATAGAATAAAAAATAACGAAAACATTTATATGCAAGTAAGAAGTAAAAGTAAAAAAGCACCTTGTACTAGATTATATATATATATGCAGTATTAGTATTCATATTATTATATGTACACATGTGTATGTGTATATGAGAACAACAGTTGCAGTGCATTTATTTCCATGGGTTCAATGTGACACCAACACACTGGTTAGTTCTATAAAATAAAGTGTATATATCTAGATCAGGGGTCGGCAACCCGCGGCTCTTTAAGCCCTCTGCTCTGGCTCCCTTGAGCTTAGACAAAAATAAGAAGGAAATAAAATACAAATATTTGTAGGACTATTTATATTTTGTTGCATGGTTGAACATGTATTTTGAGGTGATACTGTGACACATAAATAATTAAAAAAACTGTTTTAATTAGGTCAATTATAATATGCGTCACATCCTGCTACGGCCCCGCACCAGCGCCTTTTCCTGCAGGCGAATAACCTGAGCCCCGGCTCGATGAGCGAACTATGGATAAATCAAATAAAAGAAAAGTACCGGAGGAACACAGGGTTTAATTCTGCGTGGTTAGAGTTATCTGCTTTCAGAGCAAACGATGCTGGCTCACCGGGATGTTTGATATGTGGAGAGAAGTTGTCAAAGGTGCTGCAGCCTTTACGTATTGGAGGAAACACACGGGAGAGGAAGACAGCTGACGATCTTCAGTCATCATTCCATCAGTTAACTCTTTTTAGGGTGCAGCTATATGTTTTATTTATTTCAAAGTGGATCCATTTTAATTATATTCATTTTCTTCAAATGTGCAGAGGACTCCCCAAGTGCTGTGTTTAATTTATTTTAAAGTAGGCCGGTGTATTTTTTTTTAATTCTCCTTATAAGAGTTCTTTGTTTCTTATTAGAGGTAAACAGTTTCTATAATGTAATAAATGCAAAAAAACTGTAGCTTTTGTCTATGATGTAACAATATATACAACTTTATAAGCTATCAAATATGTTTTTACGGCTCCAGACAAAAGCAATTGGTGGAAAAGGGGTCAAAATGGCTCTTTTGGTCAAAAAGGTTGCAGACCCCTGATCTAGATGAATCAATGGGTAACTTTTGATAACGTTTGCAGTGAGGGTTTTTACATTAGTGCCATCGACTCTCCACAGATGTGTCAAAAGAAGCTATTCGTGGCTGCTGTTTTGTTGAAGGAGGTTGTGCTTCAACAATGCTATTCACAGTGCAGTGCAAACCAAAGGCCAGTAAACATATTTCAAAAACTAAATGTAAAGGGGTAGCACGTCCAAGTTTTTAAAGTTAGGTGGACAAAATAGAAATATTGCACTGGTTTATGAGATCCCATCACAATAAACATAGTGTTAAGCTCATGGTCTTCTTCAGAGTATAATTATGGCTGCGTCTCATTTAGTCATGCCAATTAGCAGCCGACCTTTAGAAACTGACGGTGCTCTCCTTCATTCCCTGAAGCACTCGGCACTGAAGTACTAGTGTGGCATTAGGACACAGCATTGGTGTGAAAAGGGTCTATTAGAAGAACTGAGGGCAGACTACAAAGAACCCTGTTCATTCTGAAAACAGTTGAACTACTGGAACTGTGGCATCATGCTCTTTTCATGCACTTTTGGCACAATGGGAAGATCATGAAAACCTCCTGTTATTTCCAAGTGGATTTGTTCAGTGTGTGGGAGAGAAACTCAACACAGGGACTTTAATCTTTGCAGACCAACTTTGTAGTAAAACCATCAACAAAACAGCCTAAACAAGCTGACCCAGACACCAATCTATCCAGACCCGCACTAGAATCGATCAATTATTAAAGATCACCTATTATGCAAATCATTTCCTCTTCTTCATGTCTCTCCTACATCAACATGTGTCCCCTCTTCTTCATGTCTCTTCTACATCAACATGTGTCCCCTCTTCTCCATGTCTCTTCTGCATCAACATGTGTCCCCTCTTCTTCATGTCTCTCCTACATCAACATGTGTCCCCTCTTCTTCATGTCTCTCCTACATCAACATGTGTCCCCTCTTCTTCATGTCTCTCCTACATCAACATGTGTCCCCTCTTCTTCATGTCTCTTCTACATCAACATGTGTCCCCTCTTCTTCATGTCTCTTATTCATCAACATGTGTCCCCTCTTCTTCATGTCTCTTCTTCATCAACATGTGTCCCCTCTTCTTCATGTCTCTTCTACATCAACATGTGTCCCCTCTTCTCCTGTCTCTTCTACATCAACATGTGTCCCCTCTTCTTCATGTCTCTTCTTCATCAACATGTGTCCCCTCTTCTTCATGTCTCTTCTACATCAACATGTGTCTCCTCTTCTTCATGTCTCTTCTACATCAACATGTGTCCCCTCTTCTTCACGTCTCTTCTACATCACCATGTGTCCCCTCTTCTTCATGTCTCTTCTACATCAACATGTGTCCCCTCTTCTTCATGTCTCTTCTACATCAACATGTGTCCCCTCTTCTTCATGTCTCTTCTACATCAACATGTGTCCCCTCTTCTTCATGTCTCTTCTACATCAACATGTGTCCCCTCTTCTTCACGTCTCTTCTACATCACCATGTGTCCCCTCTTCTTCATGTCTCTTCTACATCAACATGTGTCCCCTCTTCTTCATGTCTCTTCTACATCAACATGTGTCCCCTCTTCTTCATGTCTCTTCTACATCACCATGTGTCCCCTCTTCTTCATGTCTCTTCTACATCATGTGTCCCCTCTTCTTCATGTATCTTCTACATCAACAAGTGTCCCCTCTTCTTCATGTCTCTTCTACATCAACATGTGTCCCCTCTTCTTCATGTCTCTTCTACATCATGTGTCCCCTGTTCTTCATGTCTCTTCTACATCAACAAGTGTCCCCTCTTCTTCATGTCTCTTCTACATCAACATGTGTCCCCTCTTCTTCATGTCTCTTCTACATCACCATGTGTCCCCTCTTCTTCATGTCTCTTCTACATCAACATGTGTCCCCTCTTCTTCATGTCTCTTCTACATCAACATGTGTCCCCTCTTCCTCATGTCTCTTCTACATCAACATGTGTCCCCTCTTCTTCATGTCTCTTCTACATCAACATGTGTCCCCTCTTCTTCATGTCTCTTCTACATCAACATATGTCCCCTCTTCTTCATGTCTCTTCTACATCAACATGTGTCCATTCTTCTTCATGTCTCTTCTACATCAACATGTGTCCATTCTTCTTCATGTCTCTTCTACATCAACATGTGTCCATTCTTCTTCATGTCTCTTCTACATCAACATGTGTCCCCTCTTCTTCATGTCTCTTCTATATCAACATGTGTCCCCTCTTCTTCATGTCTCTTCTATATCAACATGTGTCCCCTCTTCTCCATGTCTCTTCTACATCAACATGTGTCCCCTCTTCTTCATGTCTCTTCTACATCAACATGTGTCCCCTCTTCTTCATGTCTCTTCTACATCAACATGTGTCCCCTCTTCTTCATGTCTCTTCTACATCAACATGTGTCCCCTCTTCTTCATGTCTCTTCTACATCAACATGTGTCCCCTCTTCTCCATGTCTCTTCTACATCAACATGTGTCCCCTCTTCTTCATGTCTCTTCTACATCAACATGTGTCCCCTCTTCTTCATGTCTCTTCTACATCAACACGTGTCCCCTCTTCTTCATGTCTCTTCTACATCAACACGTGTCTCCTCTTCTTCATGTCTCTTCTACATCAACATGTGTCCCCTCTTCTTCATGTCTCTTCTACATCAACACGTGTCTCCTCTTCTTCATGTCTCTTTACATCAACATGTGTCCCCTCTTCTTCATGTCTCTTCTACATCAACACGTGTCTCCTCTTCTTCATGTCTCTTCTTCATCAACATGTGTCCCCTCTTCTCCATGTCCCCTCTTCTACATCAACATGTGTCCCCTCTTCTTCATGTCTCTTTTACATCAACATGTGTCCCCTCTTCTTCATGTCTCTTCTACATCAACATGTGTCCCCTCTTCTTCATGTCTCTTCTACATCAACATGTGTCCCCTCTTCTTAATGTCTCTTCTACATCAACATGTGTCCCCTCTTCTTCATGTCTCTTCTACATCAACATGTGTCTCCTCTTCTTCATGTCTCTTCTACATCAACATGTGTCCCCTCTTCTTCATGTCTCTTCTACATCAACATGTGTCCCCTCTTCTTCACGTCTCTTCTACATCAACATGTGTCCCCTCTTCTTCACGTCTCTTCTACATCAACATGTGTCCCCTCTTCTTCCTGTCTCTTCTACATCAACATGTGTTCCCTCTTCTCCATGTCTCTTCTACATCAACATGTGTCCCCTCTTCTTCATGTCTCTTCTACATCAACATGTGTCCCCTCTTCTTCATGTCTCTTCTACATCAACATGTGTCCCCTCTTCTTCATGTCTCTTCTACATCAACATGTGTCCCCTCTTCTTCATGTCTCTTCTACATCAACATGTGTCCCCTCTTCTTCATGTCTCTTCTACATCAACATGTGTCCCCTCTTCTTCATGTCTCTTCTACATCAACATGTGTCCCCTCTTCTCCATGTCTCTTCTACATCAACATGTGTCCCCTCTTCTTCATGTCTCTTCTTCATCAACATGTGTCCCCTCTGTGGAAAGAGACTCTGAAAGTTTCAGGAACAAAGATTCTCTCTCTTTTTGATCCATTTCTATAAAAACCTGTCTGAAAATGAGCTGATCAGATTTTGGCCACTTTATGATGTCATAACGATGTTTTGTCTTGTGTAACCATTAGCCAATCAGCAACCAAGGTAACCCCCCCCCCCCACATTGAGTTCTTTGGAACCAAAGCTCTCTCAGAGGGGCGTGGGGAGGGGCTCCTTATTTTCATCTAAAGTCACAGACAGAGAATCAGCACTTTGGAAACAGGGCTGAAACAGAGGGGATTATGGGATGCTGCAATGATCTGCTTGGTGTTTCAGCCAGATCTACATTTTCTTAATTGTACTCACACACATAACTATAAATAGAGGCCAGAGCAAACTGATAGTTTTTCAGTGGTCTCTTAATTATTTCCAGAGCTGTATATTTTACTTATTCATAACGCAAGTTAGACTTAATGAATTTCCGGACCTTTGCTTGAGGGCCTTTTCTCTAACTCTTGAATTTGTTTTGAATACCCCTGGTCTATAGCTATTTTCTATTAGGCTGAATGACTGTATTAGTGTTAATATTGGGTTGTAATTGACTCACTCTGCAGTCATTTTTGCCACAGGCTATAAGCCTGACTTCTTTTATGTTTAATGGTCTGAATGAATTGATGTTCACATGGTGTTTAATGGAATACACAACGCCTGAACTACGAGTGTAAGACTGCTGTCTGTGCTAACATTATCAGAGCATCCTGTTATCTGGAGCTCACGCTGCTGGTGTTCCTGTGTCTCCTGCAGGGGGTGAGGAACACTCTGGCAGGGGAGGAGTCCCAGGTGGAACTACTGAAGGCTCAGCTCAAAGAGCTGTTCAGGTTCTCAGAGGACTCACGCCACCTTTCTCATGATGTCCTGGCTGTTGTCAAAGAACATCAGAGGTTTGTGACAGGAAGTCTCTAGCTGTTTAAAAAACCTGAAAGTAAAAAGTTACTTGTTTATGTTACAGTGTGCCACTAACTTTAGGATTGTTTTGCAATGTGTGAACGTGAATTATCAATAAACAGGCTCAGACATCAGGGATTTGAATACATGTAGTTGATACCTGGCAAAATCCATTTGAATTGAATTCCTCTGCTGACGAAATAAATACAATTGTAAGTAATTTGTGGGGGACTGTGGCCATGAAGTAGTGTGGTAGTTTACCAAATTGCTTCAGAAGGCAAACGGTGTGTGTATTCATTTTATTTTTGTTTCCTAAATGAAAATAAATTCTGTATGCAATTTTCCAAGCTGGACTACTCCCTGTGGGATTTGCAACTATTGAAAACTAAATAATGATGCTTTCAAAGTTGATTAAACTAAGACCCAGTTGAAAAAGGGGGCCTTTCTGATATTAACAGTGAGTGTCAGTAAAGAAGCCAATATAAACAAAGGTCTTGAAAATGAAATCAACTAAGAACTACTTCCTACCTGATAATGATAACAAGGAGTGCTTGGGTAAAATCCAGTCAAAATGTGTCTCCAGTATCGGTCCCTGTTCTCTGTTGTAAGTGTGCTGTTTGCTCACGTTGCAGTGTGAAGAGCAGAGCCACCAGGCTGTGTTCAGAGTCCGAGTCGGGGCTGAGGAACATCCTGCAGGACCCTCTGCTGGTGTTCGCTCAGTGGAGCCACATGGTGTTCCAGGTTCTGGAGAACTCTGCTGAGGTTACTGACTTCTCCAACAACGCCATGATGGTCCAGAACATAGAGGTAAACACATTTCCTTAAAGTGGCCATATTTCATTATTTCTAACTGTAATGTATCAAATGCGAGAGGTGGCCATTATAGTAATTGACCTACAGAGAATCATCCCTTTTTTAATTTGTATATTGTTGATAATTGTGTGGTCGTTCTTAGGCCACGGTGTCACAGAAGCTTCATTGAAAGTAATTCACAGTCCAAGTCCACATTGGATCTTGCACGGTCCACTACCAACGGGATAAAACCAAACTATAACACTGCATTCAGTAAAGACGGTACACAACTAGACTGAAACCTTTACAGGTTATTATCACGATAACACGTTAGCCCATTAGCACGTTAACACGATCAAAAACGTTTAACCATCCACGGTTGCACTGAAACCTTCTTTATGGTATGAATCCCCGTCGTAAACAACAACAAACCTTAGCATTATCCTTAAGCATAAATGAATACAAAACAGTGGTATTTATTTAAATGCAATGCAAAGATTATACAAACTGTCTAGCCAACATTAACATTATTCCCAGACATAACAATTAATGAAGTGGCTTTTCTATTCTCCTTAGTGTCTGGTGAATACAATACACACCGAATAGAAATACAGGGAAAGCACTTGCACAAGAACCTAATTATAGAAGAACAATTATCGTACATGAAAATCACAATACCAATGATATCATAAATCCATATTCAGGTCTGTTTTTTGTTCAGGCGGTTATTACAAACAGAACCATGCGGAGTCAATCAAACACACCAGAGTTAATACAAGTCCAACAGTTCTGTTGTGAAAGTGAACACATCGTCTGTTCACACTGCGATCCTAATTACAAATCAGAAATGTTTACCAGAACACCGCTCCATGCCAGGGGTTGCCACTCATCTTTCATTTTCTGTCATAAACATATTTTATGAAACTGTGAGCGTTTGCTACCAGACAGAGAAGGCTGAACATCACTATCACTAATACTAATCTATTAGGCTGTGTTTTGAATGAGTTTTCAGCTCCATGTTAGTGCTCTGGATTCCACCAGAGAGTAAAGTCCGAAACATGTTCAGCCTCCTCCCAAAGCTTCCCGTCTCTACTGTTACACATGACATACAACAGTGGGGATAAACAATGTCAATCCCACTGTCAGGATGCTGTGTGTCTCCAAGGCTAAAAGGAAACACAAGCAGCGGGGGGTGGCAGGTCAGACATAATATCCCTGCTTTCCCCTGCTGCACATACCTGAACACCCTCTGGACAAAAAGATCAAATGGATTCAGAGCCGTCCGACTTCCAGTCAACAGTAAAATCAAGTTCAAAGCTTGTGTTAGAGTAGCTTCACTATCACAGCACGTTACAAATCTCTATGAAGTTCAGTTTGACATTCAGTATGGAGACATTTTCTGAAGTCTGTGTATTGGAAAGAATCTGGCATTACGTCATGATGTGACGAGTAAAGGGGTCAATTAGTAAACACTAATTGTATGTATTTCTCAACTAAGCTAGGCAATACATATGTTTATCATTTTGGGAAAAAGACAAATCCTAGTATACTGAATAAACAAAAACCATTTCTTTGGTAAGGAATCGTCTCTTTAATATCACATCATGATCATTTTAACAGATGTTTCAATTTGAATGAGAATAATGCTTCAATAATGATCAGTCCCTCCACTGTGCAGAGTCTTTTTGCAAATGCAATATCAGTCAAAACTAGAGAATGCAATTCCTGAAGAAATTGCTAGTGGGAATGCTTTATGCTGAAAAGCTGATGCTACTGTAAACTGCTATGCTGAAATGTAATGTGTAAGAAGAAAGTGAAGAAGTGAGATTGAAATGGTACATGAACACTGGGGGCTTGAATGATGAGAGAAGAAAAGAAAGTCAAAAGGCTTGGAAAAGCAGCAGAATATTTGAACTGCATATATTGTAGGGCCATACCTATATAAAACATGTCTATGAAGTTTCTTTGTCAAAATACCAAACAGATCCTGCATTTTAGCCACGCCTCATTTCGCTCTATTTGCTGTATTCCAGCCCTGTCTTTGCAAAAGCTGATTCTGTGGCAAATGAGCTGCAGCTGACCACGCCCCCCTGCAAAGGAGGGGGGCGTGGCACGAGCGTCATGTTACCATGCTGTTACCATGCTGTTACCATGCTGTTACCATGCCACGCAACCTCTCATTCCCCTGATAGGTGGAGAGTTGCCCATATAGGCGGAGCTCCTTGTTTCTGATTTCAGAACAATTTCAAATCTGGATCAGTCTGGATCAGATCCGTTGCATCCCCTTTTTTAGAGATTTGGGTATGGAGGAAAAGAGAGAGGGTTGTGTTTTCTGATACTTGGTGAGTTCCCTGGAACACCGGGGACACATATTCATGTATAAAAGACGTACAAAAGTGCATTTTGAATGATAGGTCCCCTTTAAGTAAGTGCATTAATATTAATATTATCACAATATGAATAAATTAATCCACCTCAGACACACAATTGAATACAATTTTTAAAAAAAATTTTTTTTTTTAAAAAAAACATATATATTGCACAATTATGTTATTTCACAACAATGTTGTTGCAGTTTTAGGTTGGTGAGTGGCAACCAGTGAACACATCTAATTGAAAAAGGGAAGTATGAGAGGATACCTTTGCCTTGAGATTGCAACGATTGAAAAGACGGATAATGTATGTTGCACCAGTACGACCACTATTTGTCCAGGGTGGATTTTGTTGTCATTTTATTATTGTTTCTTCTAAGCCCCCCTTGTTTGAGTATCATAAAGGTACACCCCCATAACCTTGTTCATGTTCATACTTTATTTTATAGCATTTCTGAAGGTCAGCGAGTCCTTGATGTGTGCTTTCATTGAAAATGACTGAAGGCTAAAATAGAATATTGATAAGTATTGTCAATGATTGTATAAACTTGAAAAACAGAATTGAAGAGCATTTCAAAAAAAGCAAAAGGGAAGTGTATAGTGCAGGTAGGTAGTGTTACTGCATTGCAGGGTGCTGTGTGTATGCTGACGGTGTCTCTGTGGTAGCGCCTGCTGCGGGACAGTGGTCAGCTGCAGGAGCGTCTCAGCCTGCTGCTGGTGAAGAGGGGGCTGCTGGACTCTGTGTTCGGTCCTGAGAGAGCTGACGGGCTGCAGGGAGAGCTCACTGCTGCCGTCAGGAACCGAGAGCTGCTGCACGCCCAGCTGCTGAGCAGGGAGAGCCGGCTGCAGGTACACACACACCTCTAACATTCATGTGTACTGTCCACACCATGGAGGAAACTCAAGGTATCCTACAGGCAGGAAGAACATAACACAATGATCATTCCTGCACCACACACCAAATTGTAGTCTTTAGACACAGCCTATGCTAACTCACTTGAGGACATTCATCAGACTCCACATATGACAAAAGAAGCCTTTTTTCTCTCCTTAAGTCTCAGGCTCCTCCAACAATGCAACAATGCAATATACTTAACATAAAAGTAAAAGACATGAAATAGTGCAAAACACATACTTGTTCAATGAAGTTGCAGGAGTAGGAATGCATTTGCATATAAAGAAGAAAAGGATCAAATGGAATGTAAAAGGGAATAGAAGACATGCTGTCTAATATAGCAAAGTGTATATATGAAGACAAAACAGATGTATGGAACAGTGTATTATTAGTGTGATTATCAATTGTGTGGATGTGTTATTTAGCAGCCACCTCTCGCCACACAGTGTCAGTTAAACATTCCTACAGAGGTGACGTCTACCCATCAGACGGGCTGCCGTTGATCTGAAATAACTCTGCACCCCTGTAGTTCCACACATTCCATATGTCTTTGTCATTCCCATTGCTAAAGGAATGAAACACACTCACGTACACAAGCTCAGTAAACACCTCCTGCTCATTAGTAGCCCTGCTGGTCAAAATAGTGGTTTAACATGTGATGAAGCCAGAGGTGGGAAGTCATTAAGTACTCAAGTACTGTACTTAGTTAAAAATGTAACTAGTTTTAAATGTTTTACAAAAAGTAAATCAGATCTTTGTTTGTCTATAGCAGTAAAATGCTACTTATTTTATCTAGAAATGTCACATATATAATTGCACATACACACATACAAGGAATTTTTCTGCACAATGATTACTTTGACTTTTTATACTTCGAGTACATGTTGCTGATAATACTTTTGTTGTTTTACTTAAGTAAGATTTTGAATGCAGGACTTTAACCTGTAATGAAGTATATTGTTAATAATGTATTGGTACTTTTACTCAAGTAGAGCATCTGAATACTTCTTCCACCACTGGATGACTCACCCTGTCTGTGCAGGCTTCATCTCATCATGGAGGAGGAAAATACAATGACCAATCCAGGCTGAATACAATACGCTCAATTCTCATTTCTTCAACTCTCAGGGCTTAATCTCCAGAACCAAGGACTTTGGTGCCGCCTATGAGTCACTCCGCTCCAAGCTGTCCGCTCTCCAGCTCCAGCTGGTGGCGGCCGATAGCCTGCAGCCCGACATCCTGGCTAAGAAGAGCCAGGCGGACCGCTTCATGGTGAGAGTAATCCAAGACCCGACTCAGACAGCCAGCGCTTCTGTTAGAACACAAGACGCTCGCCATGGTTACAGTAGATTACCACAGCAAAACATGTGTTCCTGCATTGGAGACTTCACCTTTTACAAAGCGAGACCCAAGAGTGTGATGAAAAGATGTTTACACAGTTGGATCCATTGAAAACAAATTGTTTTTTGATTTATTACATTCACTAATATCAGTTTCAGCCAACAGCTATTTATTAGGGTGTGCTGTGATGTGCATTACTTCCATCAGGCAGGTTTCCATTGATTTACGTTGACAAATGAGACACGAGTAAGTTAATAACTGTGAACACCGTTTGCTTTGATTGTTGTCAGAATGATTGAGTTATTAATAGAGATCCTGCAGCGATGACGTACGTGATTAGATATCTGACACAATGTGAAAACATGAGTTGCCTGAAATGAAAATGAATAGTTGTGTGTTATCAGATCAATCAAAAACACTTTATTAATCCCAGAGGGAAATGAGGTTTTTATGACAGTTGCACTAAGGCTGACCAGAGGCCTGTACTACGAAGCCGGTTCAACCTAACCTGGATATGTTTGAGTTAGCCGGTTGGCCTAATCCAAAACATACGCGCTCTCGCTAAACGGTCTTACGACGCGGGTTATCAAGTGGATCGCTCAAGCCAGCCGTTTCCTATCTAGTTAGGTGCGCGTTCACATGAAAGGGGTGGTATCTGGAGCATTCGACCAATCACAGACATGGAAAAGCGTACTGACAGCGCAGCGTCATACTTCCTGAATGAAAAGTGAACTTTAATACTAGTCAAAAATGAAGAAGTTAAACTTTAAACATCCATGACTTAAACACTTTATCCAGGATGAAAGCCACATAGCTGCACCTGCAAGGTGAATACAGCTGGCAACAGAACAAGTGCTTTAATGCGTACATTAACAGGTTTATGATATCACTGCCCCGTCTAAGACACGATCTGACTTTCATTACATTTGTCTCGAGTGTTTCGTCAACTTAATGTGTTGCTTAAAATAATACTTCTGCATACAGTATGTGACACTGAGTGTTGCACGGCCAGATACGGCTCAGCTGACTCAGATAAGGAGATATATGATACATTATGATGTGATATGAATGATAATGGGACACATCGACGTCTGCACTCACAGTGTACGTAATGTTACTCTGATCCGGTTACTTATGTTGTGGCAGATATTTCAGTCAGCTTTCTTAACGCTAATGTTATAATAGTCAGATTGCTCTGAAGATGGAGCTGATATTCTATTAATGTTCACGTTCACACAGTCGGTGATTTTTGCCGGCCGTCTTTCTGTATTTCCTTTCTCCTGTAATATGACTTGATCGCTTTAAACTCCGCACACTGAGCTCTGATTGGTCAGCAGGCAGTGCTTTCACTGAGTTGAGCTCTCAGCCTGCAACCTAACCTGCTCCCGACCAGGTTAGCCGCTAAGCATAAGTTACCATGGAGATCTAGCCCGCTAAAAAGAGAACCAGCTTCGTAGGACCGGAAACCCAGAGTTTTCCCTGAAGTCAGCCGCTAAGCGAAAATCCGACTTCGTGGTACAGGCCTCAGGTGCCAACAAGCCACATGTGGGACAAAGAGGATGTTTGTGCAGGACAACGTGGGACATGTTACTGCAATGATAAGAGCTAGTTTAGGTTCAAATATATTGTCTATGTAACCCTTAAAAATAAACATTTCTATTGACACTATTGGCTTGTAAATATAATAGCACATTTGACTATGGGTTAATTGTTTGCACAAACTATGAAAGTGAAATAATTAAATGTATGGTTTGAATTGATTTTCTCCCAACAAACCATCATCCGTAAACATCTCCGTATTTATTTGCAATCTCTGAGTCTGAAAAATGACTCGAGCTATTTTAGCGCAGTCTGCTGAGCTGTGTGATTAGGGTTGCTCTACAGTGCGGTAAACGTTCTGTATTTCAGCCGCTGTTACCATGTCTGTTTGGTTATCCTCTTTTGGTTTCAGGAGGAATGTATCCAGACATTTTTCTTTATGAGCCTGGCATTTTTTGTGAGTTTTGCATTTAGTGTCGCTTCAAATCATAATCACCTCAATGCGAGATTGAAAACAAATCTGTCAAAGGTCACAAAAAGCTCTGAGGGAATCGCGTTCCACCGGCTACACCTATAGTAAATACCTACCTTTGTTGATTGACATTTGACACAGCTAATGGTGACAGCCCTCTTCTGCTTTCTAAACATCCTTGGATAAAAGCCAAGGTTAAAACGGGCGACTGTCAATCCAAAGTGGGACATTGTCTAAATGTGTGTGACAAATGATAAAAATGCTGTGCTGTCCTGCACATACTTATATAAACGTAAGTTGAAGTAAAAACATGCTACAAAAGTCTTGTAGCCACTGGGACACAGCGTCTAAGACAGGACGTCCTCAACAGCACAATCTCTGAAGACTCAGGCTCATGGTGAAGACATGGCAAGCATTTTTTTTTTTTAATGTGTCCCCCCAGGTGATCCAGAAGGACCTGGAGGACTGTGAGGCCCTGCTCACGGCGCTGGAGACTCTGGTGTCGTCCAGTCAAAGCAACAGGACCCAGTTTGAGAGGCTCTATGCCGACTGGAAACATCTGCACACAGCAGCACGGGTGAGAGAGGGCCATGTGAGGCTTTATTGTACAGCACTCCCCATACACATGACATCTCAACATGCTTTAACAACATGGCACACAACACATGTAGCAGTGGCGAACCATGTCTATTACAACAACATGACAACAATTCCGCAACAACATCATCTTCACCTGTTGCACTTTCCATTTCAACGTTAAAACCAATAAAACTTCAAATAAATTGCTTCGTCGCATTCATCTAGATCAGGGGTCACCAACCTTTTTTAGGAGGAGAGCTACTTTCAAAAAATAAAACAAGTCGGGGGCTACTTTTACTCCTCTTTTTGTTGTTTTTTGCAGTGTGTATATTTAGCACATTTGAACATTATTATATGCTTATCTTTAACCTTTGTGCTGTTTGGGTCTGTGGGACCCGTTTCAGTGTTTACTAAAATAACATGTCATTTAATTATTTTAACCTGCTTTATTTGGGGGTGGATGGGCCTCACCTCCTCTAGGGGGGGCCTCACATCCTCTAGGGGGGGCCTCACATCCTCTAGGGGGGGCCTCACATCCTCTAGGGGGGGCCTCACATCCTCTAGGGGGGGCCTCACATCCTCTAAGTGAAATGCATCAATCTGGTGCACTTTGAGCACAACATGAATCTATGGATACAGCTCTCAACACTCATGAAAGGCAGCTGTATACTTTTCAAGAATCCAAACATCTTTAGAATATGATCACAACCAATAATAAATCATTTAAACTTGTTTATTCTTATCTTGTGTTACCACATTCTTTCTTTTTATTTATGCATATTTTACTAATCACTCTCCTTTTAAACTGTTTTTGTACTGTCCTATTGTACACATTGGAATGATTTCTTACTTTATCTATATTAAATAGATAAAGGGGTACACACACACACACACACACACACACACACACACACACACACACACACACAGGCTGTGTGCTCCTCCGTGGCGATGACGGCTTGCGTTAACAAATAATAATAAACATATTTGTAAAGTGGGGGGACACAAACGGGATTTCGAAAAGTGCTGGGGACATGTCCCCCCTGGAGATTACGCCATGCGTGTGTGTGCGTCAAGTGGAATAAATATATGCAAGTTACAACACACAGAGTAAAACTATGGCCCTCATGTGTTGTATAGGCTGGCATGATGGGCTGTTCAATGGGGCTGATGTGTAGATTCTGCCAGAAGGAAAATCAGCGGGGAGGTGCCACATTGCTTTTCTTCCCGACTGCAACGCTGGTCCATGGATGTATAATAAGAACGCGCTGGTCCCGCAAATCAAGCAAGAACGTGATTGGTCGATATTCATTGTGGGGGTGGGGGGAGGAGGGGTGTTAGATATAGAGTTGTAGTAAGTAGATAGAGTTTGCTATGATTTAGGTTTTGTTTATGCATGGGGTAGATTCTTTTAATTACATTTCCTTTTTTGTTTTGTGTATTTTATACATTTAGGATTTTCTTGGCGAGCTATTTTTAGAACGTGCCCGGCGGGCGCCTCACGTTGCCCCTGCGGGCGACTGAGTGCCCGCGGGCACCGTGTTGGCTACCCCTGATCTAGATCCTCTGTCTCGAGCCAGTTAACTAGCGGGCCTTCTAGAATACCCTGGAACCGAGGGAAACTCTGAAAGAACACGCCCATTGGCTACAAATCAATATATGATTGGTTGATCAAACTGTCAGTCCAAACGTACGCTCTCAGTCAGTGTAACGGCCAGGGCATTCGATCAAGGATGTAGAATACCTTGGTTGAAGGATATTCTACCCAGAGACCCAGAACAAGATCTGATTGGTTGCTTTCTTTTCTAACACAAAACCACTGAAATGCGTAGTGCATGGTCCGAGAAGGACAAACAACTCAACGTAACACTGTGATATTACAGATCATCAACACAGATATGATTCTCATTTATTCATTTTATTTACATTTTATTTATATAATTAAATTCAATGTTTTGTTTGTTTTATCTGAGTGTTCCAGAGTATCCTCTGAATACCTTGAAGGCCCTGACGGTTCTCCACTGTTATAGATTTCAAGGAATAGTTAAAAAAATGATTAGCAGATAACCCACTCAGTAAAAGTAAGAAAGACACACTAAATACAGTCAAATCAAATTCAAAACAATGATATTATTAAACAAAGTATATATATTTCAAATGAAACAATATAAAAAATAACAAGAAGAATAAGAAGGAGTAAAAGGGAATTAAAGGAATATGTCACTAATTACAATTTGAGTTATTAGAGAGTTTGCCTCTAATATGTCTTGGTAGGGTGTTCCAGCGTTAGGAAATATGGTGCAGAGAAGCTGCTTCACCCATTCTATTTGTGGGGAAATGTAGGGATATTTAAAGAGGCCCTATTGTGCTTTTTCGTCATTATGTAACACTCACGATTCTACTGGCTAGCACTCCAACACATTGTACATGATAGGCTAAGGGGCGAGACATCTCTAAGCGGTTGACCAATCACAACAGAGCCGGCCAGCAAACCAATCAGAGCAGACTGGGCTCTGGTTTCAGACAGTGGGTGAAAAGAGGTGCTGCAGCACAGGCAGTATGAGAACAATAAAGAGCTTTTTGAACATTAAAGCATGGAGACGTGTCACAAGAGAGGAACTACAGCTTTTGAATACATTGTAAGGATTCTTTTTTTGCAGCTAAAACAGGAGGAATGTGCTCTCTTTTTCTAGTTTCTTTTTTGTTTGCAGCCTGGCAGCATACTTCTGAATTAGCTGCAGCTTTTAAATGGTCTTTTTGGGAAGACCTGTAGAAAGAGCCTTACAGTAGTCCAACCTACTTAAACAGTAACAAACAAGCTGTTTTGGTAACCCTTTTTGTAAGTAAAACAAATGACAGGTAATGCATACAATGAGACAGTCAAACACAAACCACTGACTGTGTGTACTAAACATCTTCTCAGAGAGTTGGTCATTATACTGCAGGTAAAGAGGCTGTTTGTCATTTGTCAAGCTATTCTGATGCAGGGCTGAGAGACAGACATGCTTTATGTGTCTCACTCGATCAAAAGAGGAATACAAAGCAATGTAAACAGAAACATTGGCCCGACCTTAAACATTCATAGCAGTATTGTCTGAGACATTTGCACCCGTAATTTCTGAATCATTTCACGCATAGTTAAAGCTGCAGAATTTTCTTTGATATGAATAATGCATCAAATGACTGTGTAATACGGGTAATTGGTTGCTCATTGGGATGAAATTATAAATGATGATCGTTTTGACTGGTTGCAAATATCGCACCTTAAGCAAACAGTCATTTTAAGAAGAACAGTTGTTGAGGTAGAGCACAGAGAGAACAGCCTAACTGTGCACACTGCAGCTCTCAGCTCCGAGCAAGTTAGCTCAAAGGCCCTTACAGGCCAGGGATAATAAAAACACCAATGTATTCTCTGCAACCATACATCCCTTCAATGGGAAACTTGAAAGAAACGTCGCTATCAGAAACGATGCACAACGTGTTTTGGACGTAATATGGTCTATGTTTACATTAGCAAGCATCGCTAACACAGCTAACCTGTACTGGAGAGAATATGTGTAAAAAAAAGGAACTCACCTTGTGGTAAACCCGCAAGAGAGAAAGCATTTGAGCTCCATGCTGTTTCAGAAATCATCCTTGATGTGGTTTTGAACATGATATGGCGTTTAATCACAGTAGCATTTAGCTGTATCTCGTAGAATTCTGAGCAGGCATTAGCTCCGCCTCCTCTTTTCTCTTTTCAAGCTAAGGACCTAGAATCAACACTTCTCTAACAGTGCTTAAATAGAGGGATATGAGGGATGTCTAAAATGCATGATCTGTTTGGTATTTTGAGCAAAACACATCATAGACATGTTTTTTATATATTGTTATATTTTATATATATATATATTTTATATCTGAGACCCATAATATATGCCTAAAAATAGCATGATAGGAGACCTTTAAAATGTTTCTTTCTGCCACTGAGTGATGTTTCTGTGCAGCTAAAGGTGTCAGAGAGTGAGGAGAGCATCTCAGACCACGAGAGCTTCCACAACAGCCTGCTGAACATGGAGAAGTGGCTGATGATCATCAAGCAGAAGCTGGAGTCCTTCCACAGCCAATCAGGAGAGTGGAGCATCGAGGGCCGCCAGCACGAAGCTGAGGTGTGTGTGTGTGTGACAGAGAGTGTGTGTGTGTGTGTCTGTGTGTCACCTCTCTGAATGAATAACACTTTTTGTTTCAAATAGAAAAATAACCTAAATCCCTTTTTTAAATTTTTTTAAAAGAGGCGTGACCTTCTTTTCCATTCTTTGAAAACAATGCAGCATTGATTATGGGTCACTTAAAGGTCCCATGTCATGGCCATTTCTACTGATCATAATTCCATTGTTGAGGTCTACTAGAATAGATTTACATTGTTCAATGTTCCAAACTCACATTGGTTTCTCAAACAGCATCTCTGTATAGTATGTGTATTCACTCTCTGTCCTACACGGCTTGTTGGAGCTCCTGCCCCCCCCCCCCCCCCCCCCGTGAGCCCAGTGGCCGTCTGCGAGACAGCGAGACACAGCGAAACCCAGCCCGAACACACACACACCCGCAGCCTGGCTGTGAGTTTGTGTGTGTGCTCACACACCGACTCACAGCCTCGCCGCCGTCTCAGGGAGGAGAAATCGGCGGAGCTGCAGCTGAGAAAAGATTGAGTGTGTGTGTGTGAGGAAGTCCGTGGATTGGTCCATTTGGACCAATGGGTCCATTTGGGTATGGGCACGTCACTATACCCAGGAAGAAAAAGATAAATGTCCAACGAGGAGTTCTGGGGCAGCATAGACAGGTCTTCTCTGTGTTAGAGTTTACTCGCTACAGGGTGTACTTTAGGGTTTGTGACTCTGCAGACCGCTTACATGCAGGAAAACCTTCATAACACAAGGGGACGGGTAATAACCAGAAAAGCATGACATGGGCCCTTTACTGAAAACCGCTGAATTTTAATAACACTATTTGAAATAGGAAAGCAACAAAATCTTCTAAAGAAAGAGGTTTGTTCTACCTTGATTATGAGTCTCTGGGACACACGACGTTGAAGCTATTAAAAAAGGATTGACACAAATATATAATAAACAGCTGCATTTTTTTTATAATATTCAATAAAGAAAAACAAAACGAAATGTTCAGATTATACACACAAATGCAATACTTATCATTCCAATACATGTCTGCAATTTCACCTGGTAAAACAATCTTCCTGGGGCTAGCATAAATCCGAAGACGTGTGCTGAATCGGTTAGCATATGAAAACAATACATTGTTCTAACTCTATGCTGTGTCTCAAATCGTGCACTTCTGCCCTTACATTTGCTGGTTTGAGTAGTTAAGTATTCACACACTGCATAAGGGTTTACAGTGCACAACATGGTACTGTGCTGAGTAAATCATCTGACTTGAGACAGTTGTATTCTAGCTCTCTTTAGAGCCTTGTGGACTTTTTGTTTTGCTTTGTAGTGAGAACATCCAGACCTGCAGGTGTTGTTACGATGGATAAAGTCATCAGTTTCATATCATTGACTGATGTATTGTTCTGTCAACCAGTAGTGATCTTAAGAGTTGGCCCCAGCATTCTTAATGGTAATCCTAAGTGAATGTTTTATCCTTACGATGTTCATTATCACACTGGTTGATATCCTTCACCTTTGCATTACTCCAACTCCTCCAACAATACCTGGTCTTGGAGAAGTGTATGTGAAGCCCTCAGGTTCACTCAGCAGATGGAGCGGCTCCGACTGGATCAAACCAGCCGCCTCCAGCAAATCCACCGCACGCCCCCCAGGAAACACAAGCTCTCCTGCTTTCAAACTGGCTGCTGCCCTGTCTCAAGTGGCCAATTACCATCTACGTGGTCACTTTCTGAACCCCCCGGCTAAGGAAAATAAAAAGAAAGCGGCATGGGATGTCACTGCTTATCTGAGTAGTGGAGGAATACAGATGTGCCCAAGAAAAGCTGGACATGACACCCACAGAAAGTCAAGTGTCGTTAAAGCCTTAGCTGAAGGAAGGCCTGAACTCCCACAGGAATCAAAATCAGCCCTTCAACACTGAGATGTAGTCGGCCATGTCAGTGTTGTTATTTTCTAACAAGGTTTTTATTGTGAAATATGTGCTAGATGGGCAGTTATTTGAGGAAATACCTTCATTAAAGTGTTTGTTTACTACAATGGATGGATAGGTTTGGACATAGAAGAGGACAGGAGTTAAGGAAGCAAGGAGAGGAACATATACAAGCAAGGAGAGCATTGAGGAAAGAGATAAGACAAACTCAGGAAAGGATGGGACCCTAATTACCCTAAATGACCAAGACTTGTTTGTACTGTTTTAAACCTGATAAAACAACGTGTTTACTAAAGTCCTTCATGTGTCACAGAGAGCGCTGGGAGAGTTCCCGGAGAAGGAGCTCCAGCTGCAGCAAATGGAGGTCCAGGGTCAGGGGGTCCTGGAGAGGACGTCAGAGGAGGGGCGGGTCCACATCCTGCGGGACATCAAGCGCCAATGGGAGTCCTGGCTGGCCCTGCAACACATGAGCCTCAATCTACACAGGTACCTGGAACATAGGGTGTTACTGCACTGATTAGCAGACACTTGCATACTAGAATATGTTTTTCTGTGACAATACACGCACGTTCAACACCTCACCAATGAAATGCATTCATAAATATTCATCTTAATTCATTGATTCAGCATGACACTAATACGCTCCACAGCAGGTCTGTACCGACTAAAACTCTCACTAACTAAAGCGGCGAGGCTTAGTTAGGCTCTCATTAAACAGTAACACTCACATCTTTAGACTGGCTTTAATGTGCGATAATTGACCTTGTGTTAATTGTTCTAGCTCGATTCAAATGAATGAATTTGTTATCTCGGCAGTGTTTTTGAGCACCTGTAAAAGAGCATTATGAAATAAATATCTTACATTATTATTATTATTAAAAATTATTATTTAAAAAAGGACAACTTTAGAATAATTGTAGGCAAAGAAAACAAAACAAACCACATAAAGTTCACACATTTGACATTTTCACCAGGCGTCTCATATTCTTGTGTCTTCAATATCACCTGTTTCTGTTCTCTGGAAGAATTGAGACCAGACATGTTGTTTGTAAAGACTTGCTGTGTTCCCTTGGCCAAGCCTTTTAATGAACCCCTCAGTGTTCAAATCAGGTGCAGTGATCCAGCATCTCCATTTTAGTTTCCAGTTGATGCTGCAATAACAACTTCCCTCAGTCATGAAATAACGTCTCTCTCCCCCCCCCCCCCCCCCAGGTTGCTTAACAGCTCCAGACAACAGACAGACTCTGCCTCTTGGAGTGTTGGGGGTCCGTCTGCAGACCCCTCCCTCACATCACCGCTCAGAGTGGGGGGGGGAGCCATGGCTAGCTTTGGGTCTGGAAGTGGAGTACACCTGGAGGGAGAGACAGGAGGGCGGGGGGGAGCAGTGGAGGGGGGGCTGATCCAGAGCCATGAAGGTGAAGGTCATCTCATCCTGTCTGCACAAGACAACACACTTCTCAAGTCACCCAGGACAGGAGAGGACAGAGGAGAGCTGGGGGACACCGTGGACTCTTCTGCCTGGAGCATTTACAGCAGAGCAGGACAGAAAGGCTCCACAGACCCCCCCCCTGATGGAAGCACCGGCAGTGAGAGATCAGCAGAGGCTGCAGACAGAGGGGGGGCAGCTTTAACCATAAAGGTCAGCCATGGTGAAGCCACTCTTTTGCCTTTATTTAAGCACAGCTTGGACAGTTCACTAGTTTACAACAGAAGCCAAGAGACACTCAGACCAGGGCACTGCTCAAACTGAGAGGCAGGGGAATGGATGGGGGGGCACTGGCTAGTGTATTAGGCCACCGCACGTTGCATGTTCCATGTCAGCTTTTTTACCACTCAATATGAAACAACGTGTTATTTTATAATCCTTCAGCTCAGGCCTTCCGTTGTTCATCACTTCCTGTTTTGATAAAAAAATCTATTTTGAGAAATCTTCCAGGTCAAACATGTTTTACAGGTGCAGCCAGATAGTTCAGTGGTTAGAGCTGGTGGCCCATATGAAGGGTCCGCTGCTACTCCTGAGCCCGCGGGACATTTCTGCAAATATGGCATCTCCTATATCTCCCCCTTTCACCACTACATCTCCAGTGGGGGAGATCTGGCCCAAACAGGGTCTCATGCTGCGTTCAGACCTGACGCGATGCGATGTTTGGGGGCGGCGCGATTACATGTAAAGTCAATGCAGAGACGCAGACAGATGATAATTAAAGCGGTGGACGCGGCGCGAATCACGCGATTAAGCCGATTGAACTGTGCCGCGTCAAACGCGAGAGTTCCATTTTTTCAACTCGAGCGTCAAATTCACGTGACGCGTTCTCGCGGAAGCCAATCAGCGGTGAGGATCTCAGCCTGCCGTTACTGACGTTCAACCAGAAAACATCAGCCATTAGCTGTTAGTAGTTAGCACACAGAGATCACAGCTCCTCATATCTGTTCAGAAACTAGACAAAAGTTAAACAAGTACAAACCACAGACTGCCTGTGTCATGGCGAATACAGTCGCTGGTTTATTTATGTCTGTAGGCCGTTGTTATGAGTGTGGAGTGAGCATATACAACGTTAGCTTAGCCTGGTCGACCCAATCTCCATTCAGAAAACAAGCATTCTAAAAGGTTTTTCGCCTGCCGTCTGTCTGCAGACTTGTCAAAGCATTAATTCATGGTTTTTACTAACCGGTATCAGTATGTTGTTACTTCGGCATCATTTAGAAACGTGTATTACAATTTAATCACGGTAAAATATGTTCATTTTGTTGTAGTTGTAGCTCCCGAGCCAGCGCGTCTTGTTTGAATGACGCGAGTAAACACAGCTGACAGACGCGGTGAAACTCGAGCGATTAGAGCGAAGCGAATATTCACATCGCGTCCGGTGTGAACGTAGCATAAGAGAGAGCAAAAAGGAAGTTATAGAGATAGCTAACCTGGACGGAGTTCAAGCATCAATTACTTGTTCTAAAGACACGCCCCCCTCAGTGAGACAGACACTTGTATACAATAAGTTACCATGTATTGAAGAAGTTTGTGACAATACGGGATAGTGACTTATTGCCCGTGCTGCATTAAGTATCCAGCAGAGGGGGGTGCTGCCTCACCTCTCCTACATCTGTTTATGTAGCAGAGCTCTGCAATTTAGTTTATTTTGTCTATAACAAATAATTGGTGAAGCTCTGCCTCCTCTGACTGCAGCTCATCCATCCAGTTTTCAAGCAGACAGATACGTGATCATTTGGACAATTAGGCATCACAAGCAAACAAGACTTTAGACGGCAATCTAAACGATGTAGAATCAGTCAAGAGGAGGGAAGGAATCCAAAGCTTACTATTCATTTCAGTGATGCAGCTGTTTGCTGCAGTTTATGATGTATTACTGTATCTTTGCAGAATGGCTCCTCATTTGCTTTGTCTCCATGGCGCAGGGAATCAATTCCCCCGAAGATTAGATTTTAGAAAGAAAAAAATATATATTTAAAAAATGCACGTTTTGATCACAAGGACTACTCTCAAGACACATCCAAGTCTAAATCTAAATGTCTGCCACTTTTCAGTAAAGCACTGCGGAGGTGACGAGTGTCCAGGATATGTGTAGGAATACGCTCTGAATGGCTGTTATCACACATATTGCATTTATCTAGCAGAAGGATTGAAAATGAAATGACATAATATGGGAGGGAAAACAAAGAAGCCTAGAAATGTGGTGACAGGTCATTGCTGAGACAATCCCCCATGATGGATTTGTTAAGTCCTGCCTCTCCAAACACAATCAGGCACAGAATAACGCCTACCTGTTGATGTGGGCTCGGTGCAAGAGTTTCATGAGCTGTGTCTGGGTTTATAGGGAGGCGGAGGGCAGTACCAGTCCAGGAGGAGGGAGTTTGAGGCCTGGCTGTCCAATCAGAATGCTCTCCTCTCAGGACTCTCCAGCAGCAAGGCAGCGGCACTCAGCACCAAGGAGCTGAAGACCAGACAGGACACGCTCAGAGTGAGGCTCTTATTATACTAAAGCTTGACTTTATACATGTTGATAATGTCTAAATGCTGCTGGTTGTTACTTTAATAAACGTTATTAATGTGTAAAGTAACTAAGTACAATTTTGAGGTACTTGTACTTTACTTGAGTATTTAAATGTTTTGCTACTTTTTATTTCTAACCCACTCTAATTCAGGTGAAATGAGGTCAATGTTCCTCAAGTGAAAGTAGAAAAGTATTCTCATCAAAATATAGTGGAAATAGCGACAGTAAAAGTAGTCACTGTGCAGATTGGTCCATTTCAGAATAATATATATGATATGTTTTATAATGATTGATCATGAAAGTGTTCTCAAAGCTGGTAAAGGTGCAGCTAGTTTGAATGACTTTGTATACTGCAGGGTAGCTGGTGGATTTACTCCAGGTGGAACTAAAGTCTGATTTAACACTTGATTAGATTTCACATCATTCATCCAGATCTGTGAAGTAACTAAAAGGTATTAAATACATGTAGTGGAGTAAAAGTACACCATGTACCTCTGAATTGTAGAGGAGTAGAAGTACAAAGTAGCAAAACATTGAAATACTCTAGTAAAGTACCTGGAAATTGTACTTAATTACTGCACTTGAGTAAATCTTTCCACCACTGGGTATTTAACGCACCTACCATCAGTTCACCAGGTGTGCCCTGTTGCTGGATGTACCACGTGTTCATATATAAGCAGTAGCCTCACATGGAGCTGAAAGCTCTTTCACATTTACCCGTGTTGTAAAGATGTGTTGCCTTGCGTTCAGATGTTTCCTGGTGTAGCGTGGCTAACACTCTGTGTGTCCTCTGCAGGCTCTGAGAGCAGAACTGTCCTGGGGTCAGGAGCACTTCCAGCTGCTGCTGCAGGAGAGTCAGAGCGCTGCGGCTGGTCCTGGACCAGCTGAGGATGTGGGTCTGGAGGAGCTGCGCTACCGCTGGATGCTCTACAAGTCCAAAGTGAAGGATGTGGGGGAGCTCAGGAGCAGAGCCAAGGTGAACACTGCCTGCACTGTATCACACTGATGGGCTCTCCAGGCTCTCTGTGTGTGAATGCAACAACTTCAATTGGAATAATTACAGGCTGTGCCCATGTAAAAAAACAAAATTGGGATATGATGTGTCACATGAGAGGGAATGACCACTGTTGAAACATCATTAACATTGCAAAAATATATTCCAATGATAATGGCGGGATTTGGAAGATCTGAACCAAACAAAGAGTTTGTAAACCAAGACTTGGAGATAATCAGGTATAGTTGAATATGACCATTTCTAAAACATTGAATCCCATTAGAGCATTTTATTGACCCGCAGTGGATATTTACTGCAAGCAGTAAGTAAGCGGTCAAATGTTTAAAAATGAAAAGATTGAAGATTGTTAAAAAAGATATCATACCCTTCTTTGGATGATCGGCTGGATTATATAAATGAACACATTATATTGTGTATTTGATTGATTGAAGACATTGTATTGTTGAATGTACTTTACCAGGAGAGAGAGCTACACACTTGTTTTAATGGAAATGTTTTTTCACTGCTGGTGTTTCACCACAAGATGGCAGTGTAACATCATTTAGATTCCCTGTCACACTTCTGTTCAACCAAATCATATAAATCTATCCCCAACTTCTATGTGTGTTTCAGAAAGAAACCCTGGGCTTAGCATCATGAAAATGTCACTTAGACAGTGTGGTTTAGATTTATGATTAGCGGTTAGTGTGTAATTCTAGCAATTTAATTAATTACAATATGTTGTATCTCTGCAGAGAGTCCAAGCCCAACAAGAGGAGCCGGCCGTCGCAGCAAAGGTGCAAAAGGTAACACAAATAAAATAAAATAAATATTTAAATCAACATACTGGGGCAGCTCCATAGTGGCATCATGGTCCACCATGGAACATGTGATCAGAGAGGAGAGTCAGCTCTGATCCACTGCAATCACAAAGTGCTGCACTTTAACTGTGGTGTTACATTTCAAATGACGTGTGACAGGGGATCAAACCTCAGACATTAAAGAGGTTTGCCTGATAAACAATATCAAAATGCTAGAGCAATCTTTTTTTTGTGCTATTTTCTTACTGAGCGAATTGTTTCAGCAATTGAATTACACAGAGTGGTGCAGGAATGAGTCCTAAAACCCAGAAAGTTTGCATTTGACCACTTCCTGTTCCTTTGTCTCCAAGCCAATTTGTTGTTACTGTTTGTGGTGAAATGCCTGAAATAAGGTCTTTGGGTAGGACAATGTGAAGAGATGTATCCTACAACATGAAATACATCAGTATATACTCCACTGCTGAATGTTTGAAGCTTCTATGCATCTGGAAAATGACGGTTGCTAACAAGTGACTAAAAGAGACTACTAAACTAAAGGGGGGCGTTGGGGAACTCCAGTTCGAAACCCGCTCCCGCCCCACTGCGTCAGGCCGTTGTGTCCTTGGGCAAGACACTTCACCCGAATTTGCTCCTGTGGGTATTGTCCACAGTAGATGACCATTACATGTATGATCTGTATGTGTAATGTGTATTTGTAAAGCGCTTTGAGAGTCTTTGATAAAGCGCTATAATAAATATAAGGATTATTATTATTATTATAAACATCATCACACCAAACATTAGCCTTTAGCTTAGCGGTGGTGATGCGCAGCCATGTTACTGTGAGGTCCTTTGATTAGAGCCTAACGATAGCCTTTTACTCAAAGCAATTGCATTTATGATTCAAAAATCCTAAAAATATTGTTAATATGTGGAGATGATCCTGCTGAACAAAAACGTGCAAGTATTACAAACGTGTGTCAGCGACAGATCTTATGTTCTGCAATTCTCCCAACAGCAATGGAAAAGCCCTTTGCTTTTTGTCGAGCCCTTGTATTTTTGGAGGCCAACCCGGAAGTTGGCATCACATCATCCGTGCACCATTGTATTGAGCTAAGACCTAAGACCTCCACCAGTGTTACAGGATCCTGAGTGAACAACTGTTTTGTAATGCAGGATTAGTGACCTGCACACATTCGGACAGTTCCGGTCCTTCTTTAACACCTGAACCATCCTGCCCTAATACTCTGTATAGAGCCACAGACCTGACGTGACCACCCAGCACTGCACCAAGTCAAGCATACCAAAGCCCCCCCCACTCCACCATTCCTTTAGTAAGCAGAGGCTGGTGAGCAGATTAAAGCCCCCCCTTCTATTGACCCCTTAGCTAAAGGAGCCCTCCAAACATTCCTCTATCTGTTCACACGCTTGTTACTCCTTCTTTATCAGCCTTTCTTTCTTTATAAGTGGGTTGTGAGTCGCTGCTCTACCTTTACTGTTCTGGTCCCATGGAAGAGAAACAGTGTTCAGCAGCTATGACTTCACCGGATGAATGATGTGCGGGACTCTTTGAATCAAGACATTGTGTTTCTTCTTAAAGACTGCCAGCAGCTTTGTGAGCATGTCAGCTCAGCGTTCACATCCTGTCTGCTTTGATACCTTCTTTTGGACATCATGTCTTTAAGCTGTCAGACCTCTGATAGGCCTGCAGTCAGGAGTGAGTTTATCAGCCCTTTAACAGACACTTTCCACCAGATCAGAATACAGATCTATACTGAATCCTAAGAGCAGGGGTGTCCATACTACGGCCCGGGGGCCAACTGTGGCCCGTTGTCCATTTTGAAATGGTCCTCAGCCAATTCTAAAAGTATTATGGAATATGGCCCGCACATGAAACATGTGCTTCTCTTACATTATATTGTACTTCTTTCAAATATATCTAAAAATATATTACACAGTAGTGTTCATTTGTTAATAAACCCACTTTTCAAATAAAATCAGCCATTTAAAGTTGAGAACATTTTCCAACAAATCTTAGTTGATAAAAAAAAGCCCAATAACTTATTGACATAGTAATCTTGAAATATACCCTTCGTATTTCCCCTCATTCTAATCAATTTGAGGCTTCTGTTTTAAAGAATGAGCTGCCAACACTGTTTGTAACAGAACAAGTGAAACCCTATTTGAAGCATATTCAAGTATCAAGCATCATTGACCAGCTGCTGCTGCTGGTCAAGTGTTGACTTGTATCTTGGTACGCGGATCGTCCTCCTGGCTCTACGGCTGTCAGACTGAGCGCTGAAGCTCTTTCAGACAAAGTGTGAAAGTGCTCATGGTGAAAAACATTGTCAAGCAAATATATAGTAGCAACAATACATAATAAAAGGCAAGTAGGCGATGTTAATGAATCATAAAACAGTGTTGATTTCCTGTCAATGTCTCGTTTTCATACAACATTTAAAAACCGCTGGGTCGAAGCTCTGCCCATCACCCGGCAAGCAATAAAGAAAAACACACTTCATGGACAAAGGGACTTATTAAAACATGTAATGTGAACAGCCGTGCTCAGCTCTTTGAGCCTGGACTCAGAGTTAACATTCTAATCTGGATGCTAACATGCTCACAATGCTAACATGCACAGGCTTAGTAGCCATAATGTTTGCCATCTTCAACATGTTACATAAGGATGTTGGCATTGTAGTTAACATAACAAAGACCAATGAAACCTGAGCTGTAGGTGTTGGGGCAGTTGGAATGTTGACCTGATGACCCTTTGGTCATCAGGTCAACATGATTACCATTCATCCTGAGGGGAAGTTCAGAGTGGATTCAAATGGTGATTCATAAAGTGTTGTCAAGAGTTATCAGTCGAGACCAAACCTGTCAACTAACTAACCCTGCCAGAGACATTCTTCTATAATGGCAACAAAAAAGAGCTTTTGAAGGCATGTCACCACAAATAAATAAATCAAAGACAATAAAAACGTTATAAAGAGGCTGCTTGCTGTTCACGTACTCCTGTCACCTTTAACAGTCCAGGAAACCCCTGAAATCAATGCTAATGCTATCATTTTGACAAGCACACTAGTTCTACATTATGCTTACAACATGAATATAACTTTAAGCCATTTTTCCACCAAAGGAAGTCACCGCTGACTTGACCCTGAGCAGGTTCTAGCAGGACTCAGGACACATGCTAAATGAATTAGCTAACTGAATGCACAGAGTCCTGCTTGACTCTGACTGTGATAGACCTGCAGGAGGTGTTGAGCACTTCTCAGTGAAGTGAGGCATTGGGTGTTCTGACTCCAAGAACTGTGTGTGTGTGTGTGTGTGTGTGTGTGTGTGTGTGTGTGTGTGTGTGTGTGTGTGTGTGTGTGTGTGTGTGTGTGTGTGTGTGTGTGTGTGTGTGTGTGTGTGTGTGTGTGTGTGTGTGTGTGTGTGTGTGTGTGTGTGTGTGTGGTGTGTGTGTGTGGTGTGTGTGTGTGTGTGTGTGTGTGTGTGTGTGTGTGTGTGTGTGTGTGTGTGTGTGTGTGTGTGTGTGTGTGTGTGTGTGGGGCTAGTTTTGCTTCCATCAATCATTAGCCTTTCCACAAACACACGTCTCTCCCCTCCATTGTTCCTTTCTCTAGCAACCAGCTTGCTCCTGCCTGCGAGAGGCGTTGTTTAGCTAACATTAGCTAAAGGGTTTGACCTTAAAGCCACATGGTTGGTTATTTAGTACCAACAGTTTCAGAGTGCAATATTCTTAAGCCTTTGTTGCTATGGACTGCTGTAACGTACCATGTGCAACTGTTATGATTCAATGACTTTTTTTAGTTTTCCCTCTCCTGTAGTAATAATAATAATCCTTATATTTATTATAGCGCTTTATCAATGACTCTCAAAGCGCTTTACAAATACACATTACACATACAGATCATACATGTAATGGTCATCTACTGTGGACCAGGGGCGGATCTATAAAAATATCCATGGGGTGGCAAGAGGGTGGCAGGAGAATTCCAGGGGTGGCATCCCCTGGCAGAAGTATATGCTGATTTAATCGCAGTCATATCAATCAGTGTTAACTTGGAAAGCCACAATATTAATATTTTAACTCAATAACATTTGGTGACATTATTGTGGCACATCAGTAAAGCCTTACATATAAATATAAGGTGGCAGACATCATTTAATTAATTTTAACTGAACAATACCAGGGGTACCAAATCTATGCAGACTGCTGCAATAAGTACATTAATTAACTGTCTCATCGATGTTTGTCTGAATGAATATGATACTATTAACAATCATATTATTCCTATCAGCTGTCAATCACTGTTATGATTCACATATTCAGTGTTATTATTAAATAAACTATATTTTTTGGAGGAGTTAATGATGAATGCTCCTCAAGATGCTTGCTCACCCTCCTTCGAATTCGAAAGACAAGTAATTACTATCATATATCAAAATAATCAAAAGAACAGTTCAGCGCCCCACAACTTCATTGCAAACAGTTACAACCTTGACTTTACATCAGAAAGAACAAACATTAAAGAAGTGACTAACTGCATCAGTTAGGGTTAAAAAACGTGTATTCAGCTAAAACATATACATCGCTGCAGCTATTATCCAGTGGAAAGTCCGTACCTACTGGCCTAGTTCAATCAAAGTGGTTACTTTCTTTTGGCTGGGCCGTGAAGTTTTACACACCGTCTTATTTGACTTTCTCAGGACTTAAAACTGTTTTTTACGGGCAGACCCCCACAAAGAAAAAAAATATTATACACACGTAAGGTCATCATCTTAACAGTTGTTATTCGACTCATCCGTGAGCAGAGCATCAAGTTGGCATGCCTATTACAGCTGAATGTGGCGACTTATTAAGATCTAAAGCTATGGTGTGTTTTGATTGAATGCTGAGTACAGCCAAACTTGACAGGCTCTTCTCTGTCATTGTAGACCGCAAACAGTGGCGGCTCCAGAGTATTTTTGTTGGGTAATCTATGGTAGGGCTAACC